CGTATGTTATGCCAGAAAAAATTCAAATCGAAAATAATATCTTCGACCTCCACTCCACATCCATGTAAAGGTAATACTCACCTCTTCATAAGACAAGTATAATCTTTGACCGCATCTGCACATTTTACGGAACTTGTTTCTTAACTACCTTTATCAGTCTTTTGATGTACCATTGAAATATCCTTCCTTGTAACTTCCTCTCGATATATTTTTGTCCCTGTTCTCCACTATTTAAGTCTTTAATTTCTAATTTTGTTGATATTTTTCACTTTTAATTCCTCGATTCTCAATCTATCGATATTCTATTTTTTCCCAAAAAAACTCAACACTAACTACTTTTCTGTCTCGATATCCCTTTCTCGATTTCTATCTTCATTCCTTCCAACCATTTGATGTCCATCTAGACTCGATCTATTCTTTCAATATTTTTGTAACTTTTAGACTTAACAGATATACACTTCAATAAATAGATTGCAATCAAGTTATGTATTGTTGTGATTCTTTTTAAACTATGAAAATAATTATATATAATAGTGATATATACACGGTATAATTATACTACTCACGTTATGACGTCTAACCTACATATCTACATGGTTTAATTTGTAGCATACTATTTATCATTCACGTAGTACATACCATACAATAAACTCATGGGGATTTCAAAATCGTGCAATGAAGGATGATTTCTTTGTGAGCATCAAATGTACCGAAATCATGCAAGCAATGATAATTTCAGTATACATAAAATTGTGCCACTACAAGCGCTTTCCCTAAAGTCATGCAGCATACCCTTCTTTCACCAAACTCGTGCAAGGAAGCATGATTACGATTTCTATCTAAACTAAAATTGTGTTTCCAAATATGATTTCTTCAGGATATGAAATAGTTGTACTTTTTCAGCCTTTTCTACTTAGCGTGTGCAATGGGTGCTATGATATGGAGCAGTTATGCTTTGTAGCATACAATAGTCTCGTCAATTTGCTCAAGAATATTGTCTAGAGTAGCATTGGAGCCTTGTTCAAATTCAAATTAAATGTCATATGCCTACTTATTTGTGCCTATAAATAGAGGGACATCATTCACTTAGTTTCATCCATCTCTACTTCTTATAATCAGTTTCTTGTGCATTATTTTTCTTCATTAATTTCATAAGCATTTGATGAAGTATTTGTGCCCAGCATATTGATAATACACACATTATCTTATGTTTCTTTTAATTTATATTTAGTTTGTTGCCTTTTATTTTCATATGTTGTTTTTTTTCTTTATTTTTATTCAGGTTCTTTTATTATTTATATATATTGTATTTCATTTCTATTCTTATATAATTTGTGTATTATTTATGATTTATCTTTTATTTAATTTGTTGCCTTTTATTTTCATATGTTGTTTTATTTAGGTTCTTTTATTATTTATATATATTGTATTTGATATATACTTATATAATTTGTGTATTATTTATAATTTATCTTTTATTTATGAAACGTAGAAATGACATCTCATTGTTATCATCTTCTTGTATAAATATCTTTGTTACCTCTCTAAGATAAATAATGACGGATCTTTGTGAGAATTAAGGGGTAATGCCCTCTCTCTAAATTTTGTAACTTACATTAGCATTTATAATTTTGACCCCTCAAACTTAATGATTGTTAAGTCATTTGTTTGTATATTATAAATTTAACCTCTTATCTTTTCATATTCTTTAATTTTTTTATAAACCTTTAATTTAACTTTACAATATAGGTGGAGATCAACTTTCTTGGCATGTCTATGCAAAGTGTTGGATCATTGAGTTAATTATCATCAGGAAACATTGGAAGTTGTATGTCATTGCTTCAAGCATGGACATGATACCATATTGCATATGCATCTTGTCTTAAAGTAGAAGGCTTTACATGGACATGATACCATATTGCATATGCATACTGTCTTAAAGTAGAAGACTTTACAAATGAGGAGATTGATGTTGACTATAGTTTCCTATTAGCTAAAAGGTATTCTAAATTTAAATTTATTTGACATTGTTTTATTTCAATTTTTTTTCAAAATTTTTTTATTTTCAAACTTTTAAATAATATCTTATATGCAATAGGTGGTCACGACCGGGTCCAAGTTCCAAGGTCATCATATATCTTGTACATGTATTACGTTTGATATTTGACTAATTAAAACCAAATGAGGTAATTCATTTATTACAACTATATTTCTTTCTAAAAAAATTAATATATATTTTAAATAATAATTATTCTAATTTCACATGTCTTATATAATAATTCACCTTTTGTGAACTCATTATCGTCAATCTAAATTAAGATAACTAAGAAATATTGAAGTTTCTTCTATAAGTTGTATTGTAGTTCTAATGATATTGTTACTATTTAGTCTCATCTAACAAATTGGTTATGAGGCAATTTGTCCTTCGTCAACCAATTCTAGAATACCTTTGGACAAGTTCCACATAGAAGATATAAGAGATAAAACTGATAAATTATGGTTGCAATATCATGAAGCTTAGATTACTATATGAAACAATCATCATAATTGTTTAATTCAAAGAAACTAGTTCCACAAAAATGACCACTTATGCGAAAATACATCATATATTATATGGTATTTTCAACACACTATCAATTGATTTTCTTTATTCAACAAGAAGATTCAGACGATTAAGTATATAATTTGTTTAATTTTATATACAATAGCATTCATATGAAACTAATATTGTTTTTGTTTTGAACTATATAATACAAAATAGAATGAACAACACTAACATGTTGGTCTATCTAATCATCTTCATGTTGGTAAGTCAAATCATCAACATGTTGGTCCAACTAGTCAACCACCTTATTTATTTTTTAGATAAGTTTACCAATTTTAAAATTTAATTGACAATTTCAATTTGGAAGTTAGGTTCCTCATACATTTACTTTGTTTTACTCTAAAACAAATATATTTTTTGCCTCTTCCATGACACTATCGTTAGCATACAATCAAGCTCATTTTATATATATGATGCCTAGTATGCTCCCCTATGTAATATGTAAATGAAGATGATAAAGATTCTGATGACGATGATATAGAGACAAATGTTCAACCCCAACCAACATATCGTCGTAGGTGTGCTAGACAAGCACAACAAACGCATATCGAAGATGAACCATATAGACCAAGGCGACAACTTAAAAGATTGATTGTGGAACAATATTTTACCATGACATTTTTTGTAACTTATTTTCTACAATAATATATGTAATTTTCTATTTCAATATGTAATATAAATGTACTAATTTAAATTTATCCATGTTTGAACTTTTTTTAATATCTTTTTTTTCAAATTAATAATTAAATCAAAATTAATTAATTTTAAAATAATTTATTTATGTAAAAAAATCAAATATTTATATTTAAACAAAAATAAACATTAAAATCGTGTTGAAGATTTTAGTAAAAAAAAAAACTTCTCAACTGAAATCATACTACCTACTACAATTTCAGTATGAGCTCAATGAAATCGTGTTTCCAATCACAATTTCATTCAACTTCTTTTACCCAAAAATATTAACAATAAAAAAAAAAAAAAAAACTAAATTTCACTACCACGACCTCTTCATTACTCACTAAGACTTCCTCGTCTAGGAAATGCATTAGAAAATGTCAAATATTTAAGACATAATCTTTAATCTGTTTAATAAAATTTTGATCACAATTTTACATACGAAGCCCATCAAAGAAATTAGCCTATTATCATTCAAATCTATCACCTTTGGTCACAAGAGTGACGACGGAAGAATTATACCTTCTCGACGATCTTCCATTTGTGTAGAAGTCAGCCATAATCTTCATAATATCTTCCTTCGTGACCTCTCATAATTCTTTAACAGTCGACACTATATCATCACTTTGTAAAATGGAAGAGAACGGTTCACCATCTAAATTAGGTTTGTATGTATCCCTTTCTATGAACCTTCCTTGAAGAAAAGAAAATACCTTTTATACATTGTTCACCCTAATCCCCTACATATTCATTCAGTTACTTGATGCTGTTTCTATCAAAAAGATAATTCCAAGTAACAGTTTGAGAACAATACTATTCACTTACATATATATACTAGTGCCATAGAGTGTAGCTTTTGTTATATGCACCATTTAATGTCCTTAATCTAAGAAATAATATCTAGGTTATTAGGTTGATTCTCCGTTTTTTCATTAAATGACCAGTAAGACTAAAACTTATTCTCTTGTTGCATAATTTGATGCAAGCCCCGTTTTCTTGATGCAGATAAACCATCTGAACGACTCTTTTCTCTTGCACTCTACTGTCACATATCATACAAAGAGAAGAAACAAGATTAGCATTGAAATCTTGTAAAATTTATTGAATTGTCGTACAAGGGACCATAGCAGTTGAATCGCGAGCATTTTTTTTCTTTTTACAAGCACATGTGGTTTTATGTGCTGTCTCTCACAATCATGGGAACATGCCTGATTCTTTTTATTGTGTATTTGTATAAATGAAATGCCAAAAACAATATTTCAGATATAATTTTTTTTAAAGCAGTAAAGGTATAATTAATGCATGAATTGTGTCCATTTTATAAAATCACTTAACCCTTTTTTTTCCCGCACCTTACATTGAATTTTTGCATGTGGGAACTTTGCTTCACCATGAGTGGTGGTGGAGTTTATTAGGGTGGAAGGGACACGATCCCACCAATTTTTTTATTTTTTTTTTCAAATCTCTTTTTATATATACAATTTTAATGATTATTAGACGTATATTTACCATTTTGGTTCATTTAATTTTTTTCTCCTGTTATTATTCGTCATCCGCTGGTCTATGATTTATATGAGTCCACCTAACGTAGACAACTCTATTGATGCCAAATTCCAACCAACTCTCTCCTAAACTTCCTCGAAATCTCATCATATATCAAATCAAACCATGAAACTAAACCCAACCCAAGAACATTCCTCGTTGGAACAACACCACCACCATGCAAATGGAGACCTTTCCTCTCTTCCTCACTTTAACAGCAACTCTCTCAGCCTACCTCCTCTGGTTCCTCCTCCTTACCCGAACCCTAACCGGTCCAAAACTACTCCCCTTCCTCGGCAGCCTCCCGTCGCTCTTCAAAAATCGCCACCGCGTCCATGACTGGATAGCCTCCAACCTCCGCGCCGCAGGCGCCTCCGCCACCTACCAAACGTGCATCATCCCCCTGCCCTTCTTGGCGCGCAGGCAAGGGTTTTACACTGTCACGTGCCACCCCAAGAACCTCGAGCACGTCCTACGCACGCGTTTCGACAACTACCCCAAGGGCCCCAGGTGGCACGCCGCCTTCCATGACCTCCTCGGCCACGGCATCTTCAACAGCGACGGCGAAACCTGGCTCATGCAGCGCAAAACCGCCGCACTGGAGTTCACAACACGCACTCTGAAATATGCCATGTCTCGTTGGGTTAATTGCTCAATCAAGAACCGGTTGTGGTGCATCATGGACAAAGCGCAGAAAGATAGAGTCTCCGTGGACTTGCAAGACCTTCTCCTGCGCTTGACCTTTGATAATATCTGTGGACTCACCTTCGGTAAAGACCCCGAAACTCTTTCGCCGGAGCTTCCCGAAAACCCCTTCGCCGTTGCTTTTGACACTGCCACTGAGGCCACCATGCACAGGTTCGTATAATTAATATTGTGTAACTATTGACTGTGAAATATGTACTAAATTTAATAATTAATTATATTACTATAATAATAATAATAATTGTTATTATATGATTAAAAATAATGGTATCATGTATCTCAATCTATAACATGACTATTTATTATACATTAGAATAGAATGGAGTATAATTATAATTATATTTTTATTTTTAAAATCATAAAACTATGATATTATAGTTATTTAATAATATTATATACTATTTATTAAAATAGTTTGATTCACGAGTAAACAATTCAATCTTACCAACTTTTAAAACAGTGTTTAAGTACTCCGAAATGTGAAATGTTCTATGCACAGGTTCCTCTATCCAGGTCTGGTGTGGAGGTTCCAGAAGCTTCTGTGCATCGGATCCGAGAAGAGGTTAAAGGATAGCCTTCGCGTGGTGGAAACTTACATGAACGACGCCGTTGCGGATCGCAGGGAAACTCCTTCCGACGACTTGCTCTCACGTTTCATGAAGAAGCGCGACGCCAGCGGCAACCCCTTCTCCGCCACCGCGCTCCAGCGTATTATCCTCAACTTTGTCCTCGCCGGCAGGGACACCTCATCGGTGGCCCTCACCTGGTTCTTCTGGCTCCTCATGAACCACCCTCACGTCGAGGAAAAAATCATGAACGAAATAACCACCGTCCTCGCCGACACGCGAGGCGGAGACCGCAGCAGGTGGACGGAGGACCCCCTCGATTTCGGTGAGGCGGACCGGCTGGTGTACCTGAAGGCAGCGCTGGCGGAGACGCTGCGTCTATACCCGTCGGTGCCGCAGGACTTCAAGCAGGCCGTCGCCGACGACGTGTTGCCGGACGGCACCTTTGTTCCGGCTGGGTCGACGGTGACCTACTCGATATACTCGGCGGGGAGGGTGGAAACGATTTGGGGCGAGGATTGCATGGAGTTTAAACCGGAGAGGTGGCTTTCGGTTCGCGGGGACCGGTTCGAACCCCCAAAAGATGGGTTCAAATTCGTGGCTTTCAACGCTGGACCGAGAACTTGTTTGGGCAAGGACTTAGCATATCTTCAGATGAAATCAGTCGCCGCCGCTGTGCTCTTGCGTTATCGGCTATCTCTGGTTCCCGGTCATCAGGTGGAGCAGAAGATGTCTCTCACTTTGTTCATGAAGAATGGGCTCAAAGTGTTATTGCATCCACGTAAGCTTCAAGGTGGCCCGGGAGTTCCCACGTCATCATAAACGAGGGTGGTTTCGTCATTGTGCTGCATGTATCTACTGAGCACGGTGGATATGTTTTGTGTGTTTGGAACTTGGGTGGAGTATCTGTAATTTCTCTATCACTATTTACTATTTGTGCCTCATTTTATTTCTTTGTCAAGAAAATAACAAGAAATAGATTGTGTTGAGAAAGTTATTTTTATTGTCTGAAAATATAAGTTTTCATTTCACTTTTTGGATAGAATTTTTAATTACATTTAAGCGGATTAAAATTATTTTTTTCTATATTTAAAATTAACTAACTCGAGTTAAAATTATTTTTTTCTATATTCTAAATTAACTAAGTCGAACAAATATTTTCTCCAATTTATATCATTTATCTTTTAGATAAAACATATTGTCTTTGTATAAAATAATAATTACACACATACTTAAAATGTAAGTAGAAAGTTTATTTAAATATTTAAGTAAAATTATAATAATAATAACATTGAAAAATTTAAGTAGAAAGTTTATTTAAATAATAATAATAACATTATTTGAACTCAATATCTTAGAGTATGAGGCTAATACTCCAATTATTAGGCTATTAAGATTTTCTAATAATAATTTACAAATAAATTATATTTATATACAAATAAATGTATATATGTGTAAATATATATATAAATATAAAATATATAAATACAAATATATTTATATATTTTGAAATATTTATTTATATATATATATTTATATATTGGATGTGAGGACGCGCTTCGATAGTAAAAGCGTGTTTATTAGAATATATTTAAAATTAAGTAATTATTATATAATTTTAAATATTTAATTTTTTTAATTTAATGTTAATTTTTAAAAATATATTTTAAATTCGTCGGTAAATGAATAAATAATTACTTTGTTTATTTACCAACTGATTTATCGATGGATATATTCGTTGATAAATTAATTATTTATTTACCGACGATAAATCTGTTGGTTAGACCAAATTCTACAATTATATTAAATTTGTTGGTAATTTTCAGTTGGTAATTACTTCGATAGTTACATATCTGTCGATAAATATTCGTTAGTAATATAAGATTTCTTATAGTGATAAAATAAATCAATCAATTGTTTGTTTGTTTATTTATTTATTCTAATGGTAAATTTCACATAAGTTGGATGTGGATGAATTCCAAAGCTAAAAAAGACATAAACAAAGATACTTATAATGTATCTATTAATTGAATAATTTATTTTATATTGAAAGCAGAACATAAATTGATATCCTTGAGAAATATGAGCTGTATATCTTTGTCAACTAAATCAACTTTAGTAGTAATTACCTTTTGTTTCAAAAGCTTAGTTTTGAACACTTCTCTGTCCCAAATTGAACCATAACTTAAGTAAGCAGAATGTGAGCATTGTAAGAAATACTTGGACTATATTCAAACAAAAACGCTCGAAAGATGTCATACGAAAAATACAGTGTAAATTATATTGAATTTTACTCATCCCTCCAAAATGTCAATTACATAATAAAAACAGCTATCTATAATGAACAAATATACGATTTTTTAATGCTCTTCAAGTCTGTATTCTTTTCATCAAAATCACGCACTACCAAATAAGGTTATTTTTTTCCTTCTCCTAAAATTAAGAACATTCACGGTGTCAAAGGGTATGTAACAAAATTTTACCTAACATTTTAAAGTTAAAGTAAACTGGAGCAACAACGAAAACCAATCAAAACGATATAACGGAAAGACGAAAGCTAAGAAAATAAATAAATTCGATGCAGATATATTATTGCAATTAAGAAGATATGTAACCAAAGTTAAGAAGTCATTGCTATGACCTTATTTCAAAATACTATACGAAACACAAAATCCACGAGACTCCAATGATAAGCATATAACGAAGAGTACCACATCAATGAGTGTATCATAACGAAAAACATCTTTTGAACTAAGAATAAACAAACTCTCTTAAATCCACCTCTCCTTTTACTTGTGAACAACCTTGATGCCGAAAATCGATGTTCAGATTTTGATTCCCATAACCGGGTGCTACGTTGAACAAGGGAGAACAATATAGATCCGAAGAAAGGTAATTAGCTGGGGTAGGATGAGTGTGTCTAGGAAAGAGACTATCATTCAAGTTCATGTTATCTGGGTATTGGAGAGAATACACAAATCCACTCTCACCCACATCATCAACATTCATGTTACAATAATCCAAGTATGAAGTTGAAGGGATCTTAGAGTGCATGAAGAGTAGTTCGTTAGCAAAAGGTTCATAGAGCATAGGGTTTAAAGGGTTAGCTGCATTGTCCTGTGAGAGTGTTGTGTGAGAGGTGGTTGAGGCAGTGATGATGCCAGGTGTAGGGTTTGTGCTGATTAGAGTCTTGCTTCTGATGTAATCTTCAAGTATGGAGGAATGTGGTTTTCCATTAGAGCTCTTTGTTTTCTTGTGCTTTCTCTTTGAATTCTGTCTCCTTTTGGTGGCATTCCAGTGGTTCTTTATGGCATTCTCTGATCTTCCTGGAAGGCGTTTTGCTATTTCGCACCAACGATTTCCGAGCCTCGCATGCATGTCCACTAGCACCCTCTCTTCTTCTTCACTCCAACTATCTTTCTGATAAAAGTTTAGTTGCCAAGGAAAATATATGAAATGTAAATGTTACATTGACTGAAATTTATAAGGGTAACCAAAATCAATAAACAAAGATTGTGTACGTAAAATTATATGGACAAATAATATCATATAAATATTGTCAAAAGCTGCAATAATTGTAGCATACAAGAATGAGTTCTTCATATTTGTTCATATTAGAGCATACCACACACCCAAGAGTCATGAGGTTAGAGACAAATTAAAAAAAAAAATAACCATCGTAATGCACCAACTTTAACTGTGTTCTTGGACAAGAATGAGTGCACATCTTGAAAGATGGTAGTATTAAAGGATTTAGAATAGTGATATATATTGTCTGTTATACATTAGATTGTAGAGTGGATCTCATCCTAAGCTTGTTAATAGGACGACGCACGTTCTGTAATTTTTTTTTTCTTCGTTTTCTCTGGCTAGATGGACATGATCAAACATTATCCTAAGATTTATGAGATGTCATCCGTTGTAGATTACTTGACATCAAAGAAAAATTCAATAAACCTTGACCATCCTTGTTTGGAGGCATTAACCTTTGTAAGTTGAAAAGTGCACATCTTGATAAATGGTAAGAATAAATATTTGTTTAAATTAGAGAATATCACTCATTCATGAATGTTGTTTAAATTAGAGAAAAATTCAAATAGTCAATGTTTATCCTCTTATTGAATTAGTTAAGTTAGTAGTTCTAGATTTTAAATTATTATAATGATAAAAAATATAATATTATAATTTTATATTACTAAAAAAAACATAAATTTACAAGTTTTAACATTTGAAATACACATCAAAATTTAAATAAAACATATTATGTAGATTAAAAAATAAATAATATATATATATTAGTTTGTTTTTTATTGTTTAAGCAAACAAAATTAATCGATCGGATTAGTTAATCGATTTGTCAATTTTCCGGTCAAATTCAATCTAATATAGAAAACATAACCTACTTTCTTTAAGGTGAGGAAGAATGAGTGCAGATCTTGATACATGGTAGTGTTAATTAAGATTTATTCACACTACAGATTATCACCTACTAAGAGTCCCAAGGAACAAAAATAAAAATAAAAATCTAACCAGAGGTATTCAGATGTACCAACCTTACTGTGTTGTCTAGGGTGAACAGGGTTCATGCTCATACAACTAATCTTAGATGTAAAGTAAGCACTAATTAACAAACCTTAATATCAGGACGCAAATGATTATTCCATCTTTCTCTACACTGTTTGCCAACCCTTCCCTCCAACTGCTCAGCTATCTCAGCCCATTTTTTATCACCATATTGCTTCACCAACCTTATCAGTTTCCTTCATTAACACCAAATAAAAACCAACTTCAAAGCTTAGCGCAAATTTATATTCACAAGAATTTATCAAACTGAACATTAAAAAATAGAATATAGAAAATGGATCCTTGTTGTCTTAATGTATTCAACCTATCCTCTTCCTTATTCCACTGTCCCTTGATCCAAGACACAGAAGGCTGTTTCTTCCTTCTCCTTCCCACCATTTTTGTGATCTTAGATGAAATTTTCATATCTTCCAGGGAAAATGTAGGGTTTTGATTGATGTGTGTCCACTTAAAAGCCTCCTCAGAAAAAGCACTTGCATAACTGTTCCTTGCCTGTAGTTGATGATGAGGGAAGTGGCCACTTAAGAACTGATCTATGCCTGTGGATGTCAAAGGAGGGTTTATAACATCACAGCCATAAATTTGAAGGTCATTACCACCATGACTTTCTCCCGTTACCATGACATCCATGAAAATCAAAAGGGAAAGTATTGTTATTGTGGGTCTTAGGGTTGTCTATTTGGTGCAAATAGGGTTGACATTGAAGCTTAAGCCAAGCACTGTAATAAGCACGTGAATTATAGTAGCCATTAATTGTGTGCTTTATCCAAGGGTCAGGAGTGAATTTTGATAGTGTAACTCCTAAAATTCATTATGAACAAATTTAAAGCAATAGCAGAGAGATTAGTGGGTTCTGAAAATCCATATTGTTTTTTTATAAATAATTTTTAATTTTAATTTTCAATTTATTAGATTTAATTGATATTGAATTCTTACTTATTACCGTCTTAATAGACTAATTAATTGCAAATTTCAGTTAATTGTCAATTATGGGTCATTATTGTAAAAAAAGATAGTTCGTTTTAAATTCTTCAGCTATGGCATATCATGAATTCTATACCACCACAATAGTCTACCTTTTTTTATATCTTAATTCTTTTAGGGTATTTCTAAGGTCACTGCAAAAAAAAATTATATTATTAAAAAGCAAATTAAAATACATTAAGACGCTATTTCATTTGTTTTACACTTTCTTATGTGTTTTTCTTTAAGGTGGGTATGTAATGGATTTCTTTGTCAACACTCTTCTGCTCTCAGTGTCCTCCATAATTTCAATTGAAATATAATAATTAATTAAAAAACATATATCTCTTCACTATCACTTTTTCTTAAGGGGTGAATTAATATATAGATGTTTTGTGTGTATTTTTTCTTTTTTCTTTTTAAGATCGGTGGGGGAAATTGATGTTTGAAACTGAAGACTAACTTTTTTTTTATAATTGTCATTAATTATATAAGTTTTCGAATATAATAAAAATCAAACACAAATCTTTTACTATAGATCGTTATCTTTGTAGAACACTTTTTTTTATATATATATAATTCATATATTCATTTTGCAATAATTATTGAAGAGCAATTATTTTGATTATTTTGGTCTGATTTTGTTCGAACACTTAGGACGAATTGTTTATTCTATTTTCATTGTAGTAAAACATTCCTTTTTGCTTTAAAAAATCTAAGCAATTTTCATGGAAATAAAATAATAGAATTTTCAACTATAAATAGTTTTATAAATCGAATTTTAAAACCAACATTTTTTTAAGTAATGAAACCTCACATAACTGTTGACGCGTCATATCGTTATCCATTTTTTTGTGCTTAATTAATACTCATTAATAGCTGTCTCTTAGTTTGATATGCTTCCAAAGCTGCAAAACTTTAGATAATATCCCATGGAGTTGATTAAATTAATGATTAAAATTAAGTAATTTTCCTTTAAAAAAATATACAATTCTTAATAAATTTTATTATTGGAATATAAATGACACGATGTTGCTCAAGAAAAATTATATATTAAAAGAGATAAAATAATGAAAACAGTATTTTAATTATTAATATTAAGTCAATAAGACTTATAAAATTAGGTTAAACATTCACTTTGATATTTAAACATATGTGCATTATATTACCTACAAAATTAAGATAAGAATCTGACTTAAGCAATATGCATTGTGAATACTTTAATAAGATAAAGTTTGTAAGTGGTAGTGAGTGAATAATAAAATTAATTTTGAATAAAGTGACTTGTGTTTAAATATTTTCATTCTAAAATCATGTTAGTAATAAAATTTCAATATTAAATTTTGGATCCAGTGTAAAAATTGTTTGAATTTGATCAGAAATACTATTTTAGTCACTGCTGCAAAATATGATAATAATTCGGGAATTATGATAAAGGGACATTATTTTTATAATTTAGTTAAAATTTTTAATAATAATGGTATAAGAATTATAGTTAAAAATATTTTATAATTAAAAATATATTTTATAAAAAAATACTTAAAAATAAAAATAAAAATTTTATTTAAATTAAAATAAAATTATTATATAAATAATTTGAATTAATTTTTAAACAACTTAACTCAATAAAATATTTTTTTATTTTAAACAACCTTGGTAATAACGTTTGTAAATAACTGTATCTTCATTTAATCTCTTGTTTTTGTTGCTCTTTTCTTCTTTTTATCTGGTTGTTATGATTTAGGGTTTTACCTATCTTCTTGACAGTGTCAAGTTGTTGTCGTGGTCTCTCTGCCAAGTTTTATTGTGGTCCACCTACCTTCTTCTTGTTGTACTCTTTGTATGTCAAAGGTTTTGGGGAAAAAAAGAAAAAAAACTCATTAAATGGTTTTATAATTGTAAAACGTTGGCTAGATCTTGATAAAATGGTACAGCAAAAATTAAATGAATAAAAAATATAGGTTATGTGAGATGGTGAATGCTTGTTTGTTTGTTTCATCTTGAAATTGATTTGTGAAAACCTAGTGAATATGATAAGTGTTTGTATGTATTTTATGAAACGCCGAATTTTTTACACGACTTTCTGCTTTATCATAAGAGAATGATAGAGAAATATTTATTTTAATATTCACTCATTTTAGTTGAGTTATATTAAGTCGTTTTTCCGCAGAATAATTATAATGACAATTATATTAAGTTATTTTCACTTTCTAATAAATCCTTTATATTATTTGTTTAGATAAATAAAAAAAACATAAATATTATTTAATTTAAAAAAAGGAAATTTCAAATACACAAAATTATTAAAATGCTAGTATGGTATAAAAACATTGCGTTGGATTGTAATTTGTAACTACGTGTTTTATATATTAAGGTGGATTTCTGTCTCACGTTTGTATACACCGCACGCCTTCTCTCTGCTCCATTCATTTCGCTTCAAAGGTTCTCTCTCCCTGCAATTCATCCTTCCCACCATCATTTGCCTAAATTTGTTGTTGGATAATGATTTACAGATCGCTTCATCTTTCTATTGTTTTTCGTTAAATTATCACACTTTGGAACTCAATTAGTCCTTCTTTGCTAGTTCTTTATCTCTTTATGTTGTTCATCTTTAGTGGTGGATCATACCCTATTTCTCTAAATCTGATTAAACAATAACCTTTTTTTTTTGTTCTCTGGCGATGTTTGGGGTTTCCATTGGAGGTAAACTCTGGTCTTTTCTATGACTTGATCGGTTTGTTTTGAGTAAATTTAATTTAATTACCAATTTCAGTGATAAATTAATCAGCCAAATTCATCCATGCATGAAGTTTCTTGTAGAATTAACATTTAGCCAACCATATATTTCTTACTGTCACATTCAGTAGATGAAGTATGCGTATGCCGTTTAGCTTTCATTTGCTGTTTCTGTGTACTGATGATGATCATTCTATAAGTTGTAAAATCTTGAAACATTGTTTGTTTTCCGTTCCTCTTCCCACCCTAATTGCTTTATCTTCTGGTCATCCAGTCGCACCATAAGCTGTGAGGCAGCAGTGATTAGTACTTGAGCCAACAAATTAAAAATGGCTGTCACTAAGGTCTACATTGTGTAAGTATATTTTCAACCGCTACTTTAGTTGAACTTTTTTATCATTCATATTCTAACTCAAACATTCATCAACCATAAGCATGCATGCATCAATCTTTGCAGGTATTACTCCATGTATGGACATGTGGACACCATGGCAAGAGAAGTACACAGAGGGGCTACTTCAGTTGAAGGTGTTGAAGCAACTCTCTGGCGGGTAACTCTTTCAATCAGTTAGAGTGTGCATGTTTCTAGTTTGGATGATAGGTCCTATGGTGCTAAACTGGGGTTTTGGTTGCATTGCAACTAGCAAAATTTCAGACAAGTGTGGCTGCGACTGCATTCCTTTTGTGTTATGGAAACATCAAAAACTAAAATATAATGGCAAGAATTGCAGTTTTGAGCGGCAATCTTTTCAATTGGGTGCCTTCTCAGTTAGAACCCTTTCAATCTTGGTTGATAGTTTGTTTTTGGTTTGCTGAAAACAGGTACCTGAGATGCTTTCTGATCTAATATTGGAAAAGTTGAAGGCTCCACCTAAACCAAATGATGTACCAGACATAAGGCCAGAACAACTTGTAGAGGCTGATGGTTTGATATTTGGTTTTCCTTCTCGTTTTGGCATGATGCCAAGCCAGCTCAAGGCTTTCTTTGATGCCACTAGTGGGCTATGGGCATCCCAAGAACTTGCTGGCAAACCTGCTGGAATCTTCTGGAGTACTGGTTTTTATGGTGGAGGCCAAGAACTGTCAGCGTAAGTATCCCCTTGATATTTCCTCAAACGTTTCATTTGGTTCGTCTCACATAAACAGAGAAGAAGACAACCTGTCTTCTATAACAAAACAGCCTTATTGTTAATGAATTGGTTCCATCCTCTATACAACTATTGACCATACATTAGAACTTCCATCACTAGTAGTATGGATTATGTGCATCAATAAATCTCATCATTTCTGTTATGCTCCTACAGGGCTATGGCCTATGGTCACTTGATTTTAGTTTACTTCAGTCTCTTGTTTATGTCGTGGTTGCAGATTGACAGCTATAACTCAATTAGCTCATCATGGTATGCTTTTTGTTTCTCTTGGATATACCTTTGGAAGAGGCATGTTTGAGATGGATGAAGTAAAAGGAGGCTCTGCATACGGTGCTGGAACTTTTGCAGGAGATGGATCTCGTCAACCTACTGAACTAGAACTGCAGCAGGCCTTTTACCAGGGTAAATACCTTGCTGAAGTAACAAAAAAGCTGAAAAGCTAACCTCTCTGCCTACCAAAGTAACATAAGATACTTCGAACTGTGGAGTTCTACATTATCTAGAACTTTGATTGGACAGACTCAAGGTTACTTTGTCTGATAGACAAGATAGAAAGGTCCCATTTTGCTTTTCTTTTTCTGGGTTATGTGGCTGCATGAATGTATATCTTCTGTTGCCTCTTTCAGTAAACTCTAATGATTCTAATGAAATGCCAGGTGAGATATTTAGTGTTTTCAAAATGAGAAGAAAATTGTGCAAATGCAGAAACTTGGAAACATTTTCATTAGTATGTATCGTCATAAAAAATATAACTAAGTAATTAACCAACAAAGAAATCACATTTTTATATTTATTTTTTATATACATTACAAGTTTACTCCGTTGCCTGATCTGCCATAAGCAGAGGATGGCATGGCACATTTTCCTTGAGCTGCGTAGATATGAATTAATTTTAGTAGAATGCATATTGCAATTAACAAATATCGATGATCTACACTTAGTCAATATTTTAAGACATTAATCCTAATCTAATTGAAACTTATCACAGAAACAATAAATTATCTGTGTTGTGCTGGATAATTTTTTTTACCATTGTTTGAAAACGAGTCATTAAATAAAAATCTTAGATGCTCTTTAAGAAAGAATAGCATTCAGGTGGTGGTTGGAAATGAACTGGTGATAGTGCAATACCTTGCCTTAAGGAAAGAGGGATTTGTCTTGTTGGGATTTTTTATATTCCAATTGAATAGGTTTTGTCTTGGCTGAAATAAAGACTCGTGGGAATATTTTGGTTAATCATACCTGCAGTCTCCATGTACTAAGAGTCAAAGTTTTGCTATGAAAATAAAGACGAACGATAAGTGTTTATGCAGCTGAATAAGAATGTTGAAGTGGCACCGTATCAGCCCCCGCATTTCAGCATTATAAATAACTGCTTCAAAGGAATTTAAACAGAATTATCTTTCTATATAACAAAAGATCAGAATACAGTTAACTGATAAATGAAGACTCGTCCTCAAGTGCATGATATTCACGCCTAGCCTCTAGCTAAAGAAGTCAGATGCATGTTGACTCAGGCCAAACTACTCGGATAATTTGGGGTGAAAATCAGAAACTGTGAAAACAGGAGTTGCTTTGATAAATCTCTCACCATCAATACTTGAAAGTGAAAGTGTTTAGATGCAGGACCTTTGTGCACATTTCGAAGGAGAATTAAACCATGCAATAAATGGACCTTGTTTTTCCAATGAATGGACCTTGTTAAATCTGAGATTGAATTCTAAACCTTGATTAAGGCATCCGAATATAAAATCACTTTTTCAACGTCTTTTGATTTTTTTTTATTTTTTTTTATGAATTCTTTCACACTTTCTTTCACTGTTTTCAATTTTTTCAATTGTGCTCTGTCCAACTCTTGGTTTACCTTAATGAAAATTGACTGTGACCTATAACGATTGACTATGCTGAATTAATTATGTGACCAATAATAATTTATTATTTGATTAGATCCCACGAAGAAAGCATCAATTCTCATTTCACATCTGCATCTGTGTTTACATGGAAAGATCAAACTTACAAGAGTTAAACACAGTTCCACCTACCATACCATACTTGAAAATTAGTGACTGAAATGAAAAAGAAAGCAGGTTTGATCTTCTTTCCCATACCGGGGATTGGCCACCTGACTTCATCCCTCGAATTAGCACAACTTTTGGTCAACCATCATAACCATCTTTCAATCACAATCCTTTGCATGAAGCTCCCTCACGCTCCCTATTCAGATGCATACATCAGATCAGTTACAGCATCACAACCTCAGATCCAAGCCATTGATCTCCCTCACGTATTACCCCCTCCACAGGAACTACTGATGAAATCATTACCACACTACATATGGACCCTCTTGCAGATCCTCAAGCCCCTTGTCAAAGCCACAGTACGAAACATTTTATCATCATCTCATTCAAACCCCATTATTGGGTTGGTCGTAGATGTTTTCTGTTCACCCATTATTGATGTGGGGAACGACCTAGGAATCCCTTCTTATTTGTTCATGCCCTCAAATGTTGGGTTTTTGAGTCTCATGCTTTCCCTTCAGAAACGTCAAGTTGGTGATGTGTTCTGTGATTCCGATCCTAACTGGTTGATTCCGGGTTTCCCTGATCCATTTCCTTCTAGTGTTTTGCCTGATGCTGTTTTTAACAAAGAGGGTGGATATACTGCTTATTATAATCTTGCTCAGAGGTTCAAAGACTCCAAAGGGATCATTGTTAACACTTTTTCAGAGTTGGAGCAGTATGCTATTGATGCATTATGTGATAGTCAAATTCAAACACCTTCTATCTATGCTGTTGGTCCGATGATTAATCTCAGGGGTCAACCAAACCCAAATTTGGATCAAGCACAACATGACAGAATATTGAAATGGCTAGATGAGCAACCTGATTCTTCTGTCGTTTTTCTTTGTTTTGGGAGTAGGGGAAGCTTTGATCCACCTCAAACAAGAGAAATAGCACACGCACTTCAGCGTAGTGGAGTTAGGTTTTTGTGGTCTATGCGTTCTCCACCAACCACTACAAGAAATGAAGAGAGAGTCTTACCAGAAGGGTTTTTAGAGTGGACAGAAGATAGGGGAATGCTATGTGATTGGGCACCTCAAGTGGAGGTTCTTGCCCACAAAGCCATTGGGGGGTTTGTGTCTCATTGTGGATGGAACTCTATTTTGGAAAGCTTGTGGTTTGGGGTACCAATATTAACATGGCCTATCTATGCAGAACAGCAGCTGAATGCTTTTAGGATGGTGAGGGAATTTAGATTAGCAGTGGAGCTGAGACTGGACTATAGAAGAGGTAGTGATCTTGTAATGACGGAGGAGATAGAGAAAGGGCTGAAACAGTTAATGGATAGAGATAATATGGTACACAAGAAGATGAAAGGGATGAAAGAGATGTCCCGGAAAACTGTCCTCAATGGTGGGTCTTCTTTCATTTCTGTGGAGAAACTCATTGATGCCATGACAGGCAACAATTGATGACTGTAGTTGAATTTTCAATGGTGGGGTTGCCACTTTTTTAATCAATTAACGAAAAAGCCTGACTATGTATTTCAAGCAATTGATTGCACAAGGAAGGTGGTAATTTGAAACAGACAACTTTTGTCGTGAATAAACTTTATTTCAGTGTCAGAATGCTCTTCGTTGTGAATAAAACTAATGTATCCTAGTGTCAGAAAACTTTGTCAGAGTGAAGATACGTGGAGAGATCATTATAGTTATTCTTATCTTTACATTTACAAAGAGAGACTGTTGCTAGATTCAAACTACCACATTACAATTTTCTTCACAATATGAAATTGAATTGCTGCAGTTTGTGTGTCATAGAAGCAATTGAGCAATTGTGATTTCCATACTGTTATACTGTTACATGATGATTATTCAATAAATAATACTAATTGTTGCCATTTGAACCAAGTAAAAAAATTGGATAATCTCAGTCTTACAAACACAACTACTTGATTAGAACTTGCTTGTAAGATCCTCAAAAGAAGTTAATTTCATGAAATGATATTCCTTTGCTATTTTCTTTCTCTCCCCTCCTTAGTAATGGGTCTTTTTTAATCTTAGAGTAGAATCCACAGACAATTTCTTGAAAAGAAACTTCAATTTTTCATGAAAAGTTAACGAAGATATTTTCATCGAATGTGTGTGATTTCATCATACCATCATGTTGTAACATCATTAGATACCTGAATTAGCTTCATAAAATCAGTTGTACTCAAGATATTTTTCTCACACTGCATGATGAGCACATGGGTATAGTAGATAGGTGATGTAACGTTACCGTGCTTGGGCTGCACTTAAAAACTTATAAACTTACGTTTAAAGGAAAAGACATAAAATCTTTCTTCTCATGACACAATCATAGTAATTGTGATGCCACAACCTACTAAAATTCATATAAAGCATTTTTAAAAGCAACTTATGTGTAAATTATGCAGAAAATAAGAGCTTATACCAATAAGTATAACTACCACTGAGTTAAGTCAATTATGCAGAAATCTTGGCGGCCAAAATACAAACAATGCAGGGGCAGGAAATAAAGCGATGACCAATAAGAGGCAAACTAAGTGGTTCACTTTGATTATTAAACTCTCTGCCAACATTACCAGCACTTACAAATCTTGATCAAAATATCATAAAATTAATACATTCTTTCAATACTTTTCATTTTTAAGTCCAAATCAGTGGAACCTTCCAATAAAACAAGACAAAGAACACTACAGTATAGAATATTGACACTATAATATGTATCGAGAGATTTCCTATGATCTTATTATTATTTTTTAATGTTAATTTGATTCTTTAAATAATTTTACTAGATCCAATATTTTCTTTTCAAATTCATTCAAATATTTTGTAGCTTATAGTTTCTATTGAGTTGTTCTTTATTTTATCATTTTCTCTCATTTTGTTTTGCAATACCTTTAATTTTTTATATGTTCAATGCTAGTTTTCATTTAATTATATTATATTTTGTAGAATTAAAGTAATATGAATACGATTTTGAAATATAAAAAAAGTATGAACTTTGAATAAGTTATTCAATTAAATTCATATTAAAAATAATTATTATATAAATTCACAAATATTAAATAACTTAAACTAGTTATTATAATTAATGATAGTCTATCACAAATCAATTTGTTTTTTGACTAAATAGTTGAATCAAGTCAACACATTTTTAAAATTTTTACACTTCACTGTAATAAACTTTTGACATCATGATTTAAAAGGTTGGTTTGAAAATAAGAAAAAATAAAAACCGAGGTTTTCCTTATGAAACAAAATGTACAACTTTTTCCACAAAAGGTTCCTCTGAATTACAAAACACGACTTTGATGAGCAAAAGACTTAAAGTCTACAAATAATAACAAGTTTTTATATATTATATAGATTTTTTTTTAAGTTTGGGTAAAATTTTATAAAAGTATTATCAAATAACGATGAAATCATTTAGATTAAAAAAATAAGGTTAGAAAAAAAATATTATTAATGCATATTTTTATTTTACTACATGAAAATAAATTATGTACGTATAACTTCTGAAATTTATGAAAGTATAGTTTGAATCTAGATAGATATTTCTTTGTTTATGAATTTGATATGATGTATCAAATTTTAAAATTTTGAAAATAATATCCTTTATCCACCTGTTTTATTTTTAAGAGGTAAATTGTATGACCCAATTATTTGTTGGAAGTGCATGTTGTTCGGCTCATATTAATTAATATGATTTCAATTTTCTTAGTTTATTCTATAAATTGATTGATTTTATGTTAGATTTTAATTTTTTTTAATTATTGTATTGGGTGATGATTTTTTTTTTTATGAAGCATTATTTGACTGATCTATTAGATTTCGTTAAAAATAGCGTATTAAAAGTTTTACATTATTCGTTAGACTAATCCTTGTATTATTAATTAATTTTATGTTAAAATTTTAATATTATTAATAAAATTTTGATAATAATATTTTAAATTAATAAAAAATACATATAAATAAACAAGAAAGTTAATATTCAAAATGTTACCTAATTTAATAAAAAAATACTTAAAAATTATTTTTTAAATAAGTATTCACATAATTCAAATCAAAGTAAATTTAACGTTAAATAAAATAAGGATATATATATTTTTTTCAATAAAAAAATATCACATCATTTCATTTATTGTTTTGTTTTGAGTTAGATTTAAGTAATTTATTAAATAAATAATGTAATAACTTTTTATCAAATAGAAGTTGAACGGAAATATATTTTAAAGATAAATAATTTTGATTTATTAATATCTTACATGATAAATAAAGAAAATGTTTAAGTAACTACACACAATTATAATGAATTAATTGTAAATATACCCTTCTCTCTTTCTCCCTCTACGTATATATATATATATATATATATATATATATATATATATATATATATATATATATATATATATATACGAAATATTATATTATAAATTAACATAAGAGTTTACTTGCTTAGCAATTGTTTCATTTTGTTGTGAATATTGAATAAATAAAAGTTTATCAATAAATACGAATAAGATAAAACTGATATTTTAAAGAAATATGTTTTTTAAATATTCCATGTAACTGTATATTCAGATAAGAATTTTATTAAAGTAAAATAATTTCATATCAATTTATTTATCTCTACCACATCTATCTATGAACAATAAAAATAGAAAGACCATGGATATGTTTCTAACATTTTTTTCTTCTAAAAAGAAAATTGAAATTAAAAATTAAAAATCTGATGTTGAAAAGACTAATTAATATAAATAACTTATAAAAAATAAAAAATAAAAACTATTCGTTTTTTCCTATTGAAACAACTTCTACGTATTAGAGAAGAGTCTATTCCATTTAATACGTACACCTCATCTTAAATATATTCATAAAAGTAGAACCGTGAAAGGCATAAATCCAAGTCCAAGCACCATCCTCTCTCTCAGCACTGAGATGAAGAACAAAGCAGAGCTTATCTTCATTCCCTCGCCAGGGATTGGTCACTTGACTTCATCCCTCGAATTTGCTCAGCTTCTAATCAACCGTGACAACCATCTTTCAGTCACAATCCTCTGCATCAAGCTCCCCTTAACTCCCTTTTCAGACTCTTACATCAAATCAGTTTTAGCATCACAACCTCAAATCAAACTCGTTGATCTCCCTCTGGTAGAACCTCCTTCAGAGGAGCTAGTTTCCAAGTCTCCTGAACACTACATATATACCTTCATCGAGAGCCTCAAACCCCATGTCAGAGCCACCATGCAAAACATCTTATCATCTTATCCTAGCTCTGAGTCACACCCAGTTGTTGGGTTGGTCCTAGATTTCTTTTGTCTCTCCATGGTTGATGTAGGGGATGAACTTGGCATCCCCTCTTATATGTTCATGACTTCAAATGTTGCATTTTCAGCTTTTATACTTTCCCTTCTGAACCGTCATATAGAGGATGTGTTCAATGATTCTGACCCTGACTTGTTGATTCCGGGTTTCCCGGATCCAGTTCCTCCGAGTGTTTTGCCTGATGCTGCTTTTAACAAAGATGGTGGATATGCTGCCAATTACAAACTTGCTCAGAGGTTCTTGGACATCAAAGGGATCATTGTTAATTCCTTTTCGGATTTGGAGAAGTATGCTATCGATGCATTATCACATGGTCAAAGTCAAGCACCTCCTATCTACGCTGTTGGTCCTTTGATTGATCTAAAGGGTCAGCCTAACCCAAATTTAGATCGAGCCCAGCATGACAAAATATTGAAGTGGCTAGATGAGCAGCCACCTTCCTCTGTGGTGTTTCTTTGCTTTGGAAGCATGGGAGGGTTTGTTCCATCTCAAACAAGAGAAATAGCGGCGGCACTTAAGAGTAGTGGAGTCAGATTCTTGTGGGCTATGCGTTCTCCACCGACCGCAGATAATGCGGACAGAACCTTACCAGAAGGGTTCTTAGAATGGATGGAGGGTAGGGGAATGATATGTGGATGGGCACCCCAAGTGGAGGTTCTGGCCCACAAAGCCATTGGGGGGTTTGTGTCTCATTGTGGGTGGAACTCTATTTTGGAAAGCTTGTGGTTTGGCGTGCCAATTTTGACATGGCCTATGTATGCAGAACAGCAAATTAATGCTTTTAGGATGGTGAGGGAATTTGGATTAGCAGTGGAGCTGAGACTGGACTATAGAATGAGCAGTGATCATGTAATGGCAAAGGAGATAGAGGAAGGGCTGAAACAACTGATGGACAAAGATAATATGGTACACAAGAATGTGAAAGAGATGAAAGAGAAGGCCAGGAAAGCTGTCCTTACCCGTGGTTCTTCTTTCATTACTGTTGGAAAACTAATTGATAATATGTTGGGAAGGAACTGATAACGTATTTAACAGATAGAGTTGCTCCTTTCTCCAAATAATATATGAAGTCTTAACCATGTCAGTAATTAGGACCTGTGTAATCTGTTATATCCAGAAACATGTCTACTAGGAGAAAAAGTGTAGACTGGATATTATATGAAAATTGAAATGGTTGCAGTTTGTAATCCACAAATTTATCCAAGAAGAATGAATATTCTTCTGTTCTTTGTTTTCTTTGGATGGCTTGTATCAAAATGTTTATTCACTTCTGAACTAGGAAATAAAGTGGATTATTAAAGTATGTAAATATGATAATTGTGATAATCATCGTTTACAAACTAACTTGGGCCTTTTAAATTTAAGTCTGGTATTTGGATTTCAAGAGTGAAACCTATAGCCATTTACGCGTGTTTTCTCTTATTAGCAGAGATTGATGGATTGTATAATACCAAGCAAGATGTATACCAGCTAAAGTAAAATTGTTGTAAAATAATACATAAATGCATACCAAGAAAACAAAAAGACAATATCGTGCTCCTGCATACCTGTCAAAAATGGAGAAACTACTAAATTTATGACTATTGAATTTGTGTGATGTGCTTCAATTAAAGTCAAGTGGTCTGTCTCATCACATTTATCTGGTGAACCATACGGAATTTTGCCGCTGAAAGTCCCCAAATGGAAGAATGTGAGCAAAATTATCAATGAAAGCAACGGTGATGTACTCGACTATCCTTCGCTAAGTCCCAATTTATGTGAAGATCCTAAATCGTCTTAAAGGCAACAACGAATTTTGCATATGCTTCGTATCTAAAAACAGCTACATATAAAATGGGACGGAACATTAATGAAAATATCCACTATCAAGCGTAAAAATTGGGTGCTTCGATTTGCCAAAGCATTTCGCTTTTTGCTACCTGTAGAGAAGATTGCATCACTACTGAAAGACAATTCATGGTACATTAGCATTGGTAGTTGGAGATCCTTGAACCAAATAAAACATTTATCAAACTAGCCACGCCATGAGTAAGACTATCACTGCTCTCAGCAGTGTAAATCATAAGACACATAAAATGACCTTTAAAAATTTTAGAAGCTTTAAATCACATTTCTGGTTATCAAATGATTTTCAACTTGCTCGAAAACTCGGTTCTCTTCACGACAAAGGAATGACATGCTCGTATCTATCTTGACACTGCCGTTACCTTCTAGACCTTCTCTCTTCTCTCCTGTCAAAATCATGTCTTACTTTTGACTCTGGTCGATCATTATCATTTCTATATGATCTATTATCTTGCTTCCTATCACAATCTTCTCTTGACCTTGGTGCAGATTCATCTTCACTGTGCATTCGAGATCTCCTGTCTTCCCTGATACTTTGAGGTTCTCTTCCCTTGCTTACAAAATCATCATCATCCATCCTCCGGGATCTTTTATCTTCCCTAGTATCCAAATCTCTCAACTTGGGTTCAAACTCAACATCATCTGGCTTTATTGACCTCTTGTCTTCCCTTCTGCGATGATCTTTCGGCTCAGGCATACCATTGTAATCATCCTTTCTTGATTTTTTTTCTTCTCTCCTGTAACGCTCTTCTCTTGACTTATGTTCAAATTCATCATCTCCATACCTTCTTGATCCCTTCTCTTCTCTTCTGTTGTTATGTTCTCTTCCCTCAAATTTATCATCATCATCATGCCACCGCTTTGTCCTCTCTTCTCTCCCACTTCTCTTAGGTTGGTTGTTTAATCCAGCACCATCGCCATGGGCTCTAGAACGTGAATCTCTGTCTCTAGTTTCTGGAATATGATCTGACTGATTGTTGCCAGGTCTTCTCTCTTTTCTGGGACCCTCAAATCTGTCGTGACCCCATTTTGGATTGTCTTCCTCATGACCCCAACCTGTATTTGCAGCTCTCTGGATAAAGGCAACAAAGACAGTCAAGAACTCAGTCAAATATGAAAAGGTAGTAGCTGCATAAACCCTCTGCATCGAAGATGTTATTCCAAAATTTAGCACATTTTATGACAACTTCAGAAGTTCAACTATAGGCAAAGCAAAAAAGGTGAAGTAATTCAAACCGGAAAACCTGGACAATAAAGAAGCAGCAAATAATTATGGGTATATTACACTCCTTTTCCATAAGATATGTTTAATTACAATGCCCTCCCTTTAATTTTAATAATTAAATTTCTGCTAATATCCCAAATTTGATAGTGAAGGTCTAAACTAGTTGATGATGCCAACAACGATAGCAAGAGGGGGTGAAAATCCTAAGAAGTTCATTTATATTTAAATGTTGTTTCCATACTAAGAATATTCTTCCCCGTACGAAGGAATGTATTTGTTTACAAATAGAGAGAAATACAGTGATTTAAGCATTTCTTGGGTAATGAAAGTGTAATTTACTCAATAATTAAACGACATGATGACAGATAAAAGTAAATACAGATCTCATTTAAAACTATGTATATCTATCATTTATAGCAAACTCAAAAACTTAATCAAATATCAACGTAGACTCATTACAATATTACATTACAGTCATGACATACAAAATACACATTCAAAACATTGGTTCACCTAACAACACCAAACTTCCATTGATTTCCATGTTGTCAAACAATGTGGCTTAATTCTATAATAACATTCAGGAAGGTATGACATTATCTGCCAATATAATGTTGATCCTTGAATCAAAATCCAAACTTGACTGCAATTCAATTCCAAAATTTCCAATTCGGTTAAGACTGGAATTAGTTTTATTAAAAGTAAAAAAGGGGCAGGTATCAAGTGAAACTTTCTTAAACCTCAAGGGTGTGCTTGAGTGTAATTTGACTTTATTGTTATAGGTAGTAATGCATTACAGATTGATATAAATTTCAAATTTATATTCCTGTTTAAATTTAACCATATATGCAGAATGTGTAGTTTGGAACTAAGATTTATTTATTTAGTTAATTTAAATAATTCTATAACTTCCCATTACTGATAATGCTCTTAATAATTACAAAATGACAATCATAGAATAAGGCCACAGCAAAAATACAATAGCTAATTAGTATTATGTTAAAACATAATATTTTACAAACTGAAGGATGAAGCAAAGAAACCAGGTTGAACTAACCACAAAAAGGTATATACCAATCATCAAAATAGAGGTTGTAGCTAAACTTCATTCAATTTTATAATGTGGAACTTCTTCACCAACCATTTGCCACCACTCTAGTTGGAAGATTTTCTTAAAATACAATCATCAATGTTTTTGTTCGTTTCCACTCATTATAAGGTTTTGGTGGCACACAGGGAAAATAAGGTTTTCTAGTATTGTGCCCTCTTTGCTGGCATGCTATTCCAGAATTTCTAACCCTAACTTTCCTATTAAAGCTTTAACGAGAGGCTAGTTTTCTGACTCGTAGGTTCCTTTTCATGGATTTTTAAAGGGGCTTTTGTAGGTCCAACATGCAAGAAACATGCTCCTGTTTTGTCTTTACTTTCTGGATGTATAAGACAAAGCAGAGACAAAATCAATGAGCTTGCAGGATAAGGGATCCTCCTTAGATAGTGTTTGGTTGGACGGGAACTGGAAATGCAGGGGAGGGATTTTTATGAACTTTATATGTTTAGTTCAAAATTTCAGAGTGGAGGGGACAGGGTGAAAATGTCTACTCACTTAATTTTGACTTCCCTAAAATTGGAGGGATTTGGAGGGGAGAGTCACTTATATACTAATTGTGTTTAATTTAATAGATTTGTTGGAACATCTATGTGTATAATAGCAAATTAGTTTACTTTCCTCATCTACTTTCGTTTGGACCAAACAATGCATTATAATCTAAGAAACATGGACATGTCATGTTGACTATAAATATATAAAACAAAGTTGCTAAGTTTTATAGTTTTCATATAATAATGACCCTCGCAATAGAATATTAAGAAACATATCTCTTAATAGTTAAAACAACTAATTAAGTTCTATACAAACGAACCTCACAGAAATATGTTACCAGACTTTGCAATATTTATATTCTCAGTTGACTTTCTTTTAAGATAAGAGTGTTTAGTCAAGAACGGTTGTCAATTCACACTCTTTCTACTGATACTCAGACCATGTCGGAGAGGTATCCAAGATGTGTGAAAGAGGTGTCTAGTTGACAAAAATCATTTTTTAATTACAACATGGTCAAGGGATATCCAACATGTCAAAAGTGCACTGCTCGCTCTTTTACAGAGAAATGGGGAAAACAAAACCTTACCACAAGCCTACCCAGCAGCAAGCAGTTAGAAAATATCTGATAAGTATGTATTTGAAGAAGTAATCATGACCATAAATCTGTGAAAAGTCAGGAGGATAGAACAAGCACATGCAACAAGAAAGGTCAAACGAAGTTAGAGGTCATGGCTAGCTTATGTCTGGCTGATTTGAGCGGGACTGTTTACTAGAATTGATTTTCAGCAATCCAGCATTCAGTGATGATGGGGTTGGAGATTCAGTCACTCCAAGCGACAAAGCTCAGAGAGGAAAAGGGAAAGTAAGTCTTGATAGAGCAAACAAGACCACTTTTCATAAACAAAACTCTATTAAACAATGAGATTAGTGTGTTAAAAATAAGAGGATATTAAATCATCCTAAGGCTACAAGCCACAACAGAAAAGAATGAAAAAGGAATATATGTCAAGATAAAAAGAGAAAACCCAGTCTCTTTGCAAGTATGACCGAGAAACACCCTTTAGTAAACCCATCACGAGTATCAACAAAGCTAAAACGTGCCTGCTGTTAAGGTCACAGCACCTAATTCAAATGAACAACATATTATCTGAAAAACTAAATTTTATGTGACCAACAACATATCTACGACCTAAAAAAAATCCAGTTCTAGGTGTAGTATGGTCTACAACCAATAATATCAAAGTGTTAACTAATTCCACTAAGCCAAAAATCACTGCATACAAACACTAAAATTAAATTTACAAAAAATAAAACCTTAACGCCAAAGTTTTCAAGTCACATAAAACGATAACTTATAAAAAAAAATAAAAGCAAATTACTCTGTGACATTATAATAAAACGCTTATCTTACTTGCTCATCATGAGAAAACTTGCAGCTAGCTCCACGAGTACATTCACCCCTTTGGAACGCACGACAAACACCTCGTGCCTCCCTCTTCTGCCGCTCTGTCTCCTCATCTTCCTCCTCCTTTTTTTTATACTTGTCAACATGGTCCACCCTAATAATTCTCCCCAAAACCTGTGCCCCATTTAAATTATCTGAGACACACAAAAAACATCAAAACGCAATTCACCACTACGTCCATTTAAAAAACAAAAATCAGAAGACAGAGACCCACCCACAGCAAGGTTTGTGCTTCTTTGATCCTCATACGCAAGGAACGCAAAACCCTTTGATTTTCCAGTGCCTTTGTCTCTGACGAGATTAACATCAACAACCTCCCCGTATCTGAGTAATTAAAAAAAATCGTTAAGAGTTAAAAAAAAAAAAATCGTTAAGAGAATAAATAAAGACTTGATGAACTGAGATGTTAGTGGGAATAGAAGTACTGGGCGAAAACGGCGAGGAGGTCACCCTCGGTAAGATCGAAGGGGATGCCACCGACGAATACGTAAGCGGAATCTTTGTACTTGGTGTGCCACGAAGCTTCTTCGCCTATTCCGAGTGCAGCTTCTCTGGCGTTGATGTTCTGAGTGCGCTTCACTAGTGTTAACGGATTCATCTCTCTCTCTGCTCAAAACGAATCGGAGCAAGCAGAGAAAGAGGGAAATGGTTAGGGCATTCAAGTTTTGACTCAAAACTAAGGATCGCGCACAATTTGCCTCTTTTTTATAATTTTTTTAGCATTCTCAATTAACTTTTTTATTCTTTCACATTTATTCTAATAATAATTTCATACATTTCATAAATAAGTATTTTAAAATAAATAATTTTAAAAAATACTTATTTAAAAAATGGATAGAATTTATCTATTAAAAAATAAATATATTAAATTACACACATAAAAGTTAGAAATTTTATTTATTTACTTAAAGTATATTTTAAACAATAACCATAGACAAATGGATCTATAATATAAGTGGATATTTCACTGTCTTTAGTGTAAAATGTGTGAAATAATACTATTTTGCTACCGATCTTTGCAAAGCGGCATTTTTTTAATCTCGTTTAAAAAAAAACACATAGGTGTCGTTCGAAATTTATTCAATTGATAAAATGTAAGAATATTGAAAAAAATTTCTGTAAAAGAATATGAGTGATAAAAAATTTTGTAAAATATGACTGTGGAGTGATTATATGGGTAATTAATAATCAAACATATTCGTTCAAAGATATATTAATATATATCATTTTGAAAATAGAAAAATATCATCTCAAAACAATTTTTATATAATTATTTTTTCCACCGTGATTATTTTAAACCCCATTTTGAAAAAATATTCATCTTTAATTTTGGAATATTTGTTGTATTAATCTTTTTGAAAACATATTCTGGAACATTTAATCGGAAAGAATTTTCTAAAAACACATTTTGAAACACTCAATCTAAAATTTCTTTTCAAAAAGATTTTTTTAAAAGTATTCCAAAACACTCAATCTCGAATAGATTTTCAGATTGGCTTTTCCGAAAACATAATCGGGAATACTTAATTGAGAATTCAACCTCACTTTCGCGACACTATTTTAGATTAAACAATTTGAGTCTGTTTGTATAATTTGAGTGTAGGAACATATAATTCATACATAATATTAATAATTACTTACCTTTAATTATTAGAAAATATCTTCAATTGAATTGTAGAAATTGTACAATAGAAAAAAAAAAGTTAGGATAAAAAATAAAATTATAAAAAGTATTTTAGATATTTAATTACGAAGATGCATGAAAAAATTATGAAGATGCACAAACAAAAAATCATAGGTGAAAAGTGTCAGGAAAAAAAGTTTCACCGAGCAAGTAACCACACAAAATTACCAGCCTCATTGAGCAAGGCTTTAAGAGATGAAGAAATGAAGCTCCTATGGAGTACAAATGGCCAAAATTTTATACCTTTATGAGGAAAAGGATTTTTTACTATGGCAACTAGTAAAGGGAAATATAAGAGAGGTTGAAAACTTTGGACATAAAGGCTTTTTGAAAAATAAATTAGGGTTTCAAAGGTTTTCACTACAAAATAATCATGTTTATAATTTTAGTAAATGGTTTAAAGGTTTCTCATAGAAAATGTATGACCCAACTTTTTTTAACGAGAAGATAAGCTAGAAATAACTGCTTTGGTGTAAATATTTTTCTTACAATTTTATCTTCATTGATGTAAAGATTTTTTTTATTATTATTATACTAATTATTGTTTTAATTACGTAACAAAAAAAATGGAAACACGTTCGTTTCCATTAAATTATACTTATGTTGTTGACAATGTTTTTTACGAAAAAAATAAAAAATAATGTGATAAAACAAGTAAGAGAAAGAGAGAGAGAGAGAGAAATTGAAGAATAGATTAACCCTACATTATCATTTATCTTTTTCTGTAAATGCCACGTTGATGAATATAACAAAGTATAACTATCTTTGCATGCTGGTTTCTTATGCCTAAAACGTGGCATAGAGAAGCAGGCAACTACCAGTATTTATGATGCCTAACATCTAACTATGTATATTGCAGAGAAATGGTTTATGAATGTCGTCCACCATAGCGTCTCTGTCTCTGCTGAAATGAACTTAATGCATCTACAAACTCATCCCTTCCAAAATCTGGCCACAGTTGTCTACTAAAGTAAAGTTCTGTGTAGGCCAATTGCCACAACAAAAAGTTACTCACTCTAAGCTCACCACTAGTTCTTATTAGTAGATCAGGGTTTGGAAACTCAGTGCAGTTAGTTTCCAGTTCCTGTTCAATTATCTTTTCATTTATGTCATCCAAATGAAGATCACCGTCTTTCACTTTCTTGGCCACACTTTTGCATGCTTGCACAACATCGTATTTTCCACTGTAGCTCACTGCCACAATAAGTTGGAGTCTTGAATTGCGCTTTGTATCTTCTTCTGCACTAGCTATCAGTCCCTGCAGAGACTTGGGCAACCTTGACGAATCTCCAATCACAGATATTCGAATTCCTTCCCTGTAAAGTCACAACTCCATCAAATATAATCCACATACAAAAACCTTTATTGAAAACTATGATTTACATCTGTGTAAGTAGCTCCTAAAACTTATTATAATAGAAAGAAATAAATTTGATTATGACCATGAGTTTGTCAAGTTTCAGCTGTACATGGAATATCTTTGAAATCAACATCTTATCAAAACATGATGGTGGTTGTCACTTTCTAACATGATGTAATGCAGAGGAAAGCAAAATCCTTCTCTACTTTACAACATGGACTGCAGAGAAAAACTTAGAAAAAGACAAAAATATAACCCTCCCCCATTAAGATAATTTTAAGTTGTACAATGACATTTGTTAAGCCTGCAAAGTTTTTTTTGTTTTAGAAAAAAATGTATTATTACCAATTAACTGGACCAAAATACACTAATAATAATAATAAGTGTTAACCAATAAAAAAATTGCTATTAATAACATAAAATTGATCTTAACTGAATTAAAAAAAATGATCAATTTTTTCCTTGATTAAAATAAAAATTATAAATTTATTATATTTACAAATAATATTATATATATATATATATATATAGTTAATATGTAATAATTAATAAGCATATGTGTATATTGAAAATTATTTTATAATATTTTTTTATAAGATATATATATATATATATATATATATTAATAAAAAATGATAACAAATGTAAATATAATAACTATACAAATAATTCAAACATTTTTCTTATTTGATAAATATTTTTATATAAAATCAATCTATACTGATTAGTAAAATAGTGGTGTGAGTTAATTTAAGTTTTCCATTCAAATCAAATCAAATTATATTTTATTTTATTTAAATTATGGTTTAATGGAAAAACAAATTAAGTCGCCAACATTTCATTATTAATAATAAAAATAATAATAATAATAATAATAATAATAATAATAATAATTTATTTACATTATGGTTAGGAAATTGAAAAAGAAAAAAATGAGAGGTGAAAGCTGAAGGTGACTAATATGTTTTCATTTTTTTTTAAGAGTGATTTATTATTTTCTATTAAAACGAGCAAAAACATTCATAGTAATATAGTGAGACAAATCTTTGAGAAAACTCAGACAAGTTTCTATATTCTAAAAATTCTTTTAAGATATTTATAAATCGCGTATTTACAAAATTTTTACGTCAATAATAGAATATTTAAACATGTTGTGACGAATATTTTGAAAGGAAAAACAAAAAAAAAATCAAGTTTTCATGTGATAAAAATTAAACTTAGGTATATAATCTACGATTTTTTAAGTTTCAAAAATTTAGAAGTTGTGTACTCCTAATAAATATTTTGTATTTTGTTTTTATTATTAACTTTTTTTTAAGTAATCTTTAAAATATTGTTAAATTTATTTTTTGTTTCTAATTTTTCTTATCATAACAATTAATATATTTTTCACCCAAGGTTAACATAAGGTATCATATGTTTTAGGAATCTAAAGTTAAAGAAAAAAATCATTAGAGATTAAATATAAAATTTTAAACAATTTAAAGAAATGTAAATATTTAAGACTCTTTTTAAAACAAACTTATATTTTTTTTTTAAATTACTCAATTGATCTCAAAATTATTTTAAATGAATTCGTAAACAAAAAAAAAATAACTGGATCTTTAAACTAAAAATTAGGTCTACAGAAATATTTTATAACTATTTAAAAACTGAAGGATAAAAAAAGACAATTTATATCAATTTAAAAACTATAGGAACTCAATTTAAGAGAAGTACACGATGGAATAAATATCCACTGAAAAAGATAGTCCACAAACCAACAATACAATTTTCAAATGGTTCACCTTAAAATGTAAATTGAAATATTTTAATATCAAATAAAAATATAAAATATTTTTTATTTGTATTTATTTATTTTTTTCATGAAACTCATAATTAACTTGTAACTTATGTTAAGTATGCGTTGCCAAATTTTTTCATTAAAACTAATAAAAAAAGTAAAAAAAAAACATAATTAAAAAGAGGCTAGAAGCAAAATCTAAATTTATTATAATATATTATTTTTTCTCTTCTGGTTCTTCATACATTCGTCATTGTTATTAAGTAGCAGAGCAGTTTAGTTTAAGTGGTATTAAAGTACCTCTTAAAGGCTTCGATTTCCGTGCTTATGGTGCTCTCGAACAACGTCATCAAGAAATCAACCTCTACCTGCACCACCGTTAATCCTCAGTTAGTATTCACTAAAACCCACATTAATCACATTATTAAAAGATTAAGAGCTTAGATATTTTGAAAACGAGAAATCTTATAATCTTAGAATAACTTATTTTTATTAATATAATAATTTATAGAATAATTTAATAAAAATAAAAATAAAGTAAAACTATTATTATAATATTAGAAGAGAGAATTATTTATAAAAAATATATAAATGTAAGTTTTTAAAATATTATTTTTTAAAGATTAAATAACTTTTTTTCATTAATTTAATTCCACTTTATTATTTTCAATTAGTTTAACTTTATCTTAAAATGAAAGAATGTAGTATTTATTTTTCTCAATTTCGTTAACTGATTTTAATGGAAAGTAATTCGTGAGACGTGACATATCATATCAACACTTTCTCTTAAACAGTATAAAAATAAACACAGAAAATAATAATAGAATAAAAAAAATGAATATTGAAAAAAATTAATGTACCGGGATATGAAAGAGATTAGATTAAGAGTGGTGATATTTTTACACTAAGAAATCCTACCAAAACAATTCCCTTTTATTAATATAATAATCTATAAATTGATTTAAAAAAAATAAAATAAAATTATTATTATAATATTAACTCTTCAAATAATTCTTATTTAATAAAAATAAAAATAAAATAAAATTATTATTATAATATTAAAACAGAATTAAGGAATTGAGTTTTGAAAATATATTTTTACTATTAAATACCTTGGGGCGAATCCAGTTATCCGTTGAGAATGCGAAAACCGTGAGAACCTTAATCCCCCAACTGCCGCAGAGCCTCACCATTCTCTTCAGCGACTGCAGCCCCGCCTGGTGCCCCACCGACGCCGCCTGCCCCTTCAACTTCGCCCACCTCCCGTTCCCGTCCATGATCACCGCGACGTGCTTAGGCATCAGCTCCGCGGCCAGATCAACCGGCAGCGGCTCTGGCAGCTCTCGGTCGAGCGAGACCCCTTGGCCCGCGTCGTCTCGAAGCGCCACGCTGGCAGTAGCGGCGAGCGAACCGCGTTTAGCAACCGTAAGCGGCTGCGTTTGGGAACGGTAGTGAGGAGGATAATAATGGTGAGAATAAAAAGGAGAAGAAGGCGTGTTAACTAGTGGAACAGGGAACGGTAACGAAAACATTGTGTTTGGTTGTGTCTTTATGTTAGTGAAGTGGGATGTGGTTATCCGATCAGAGAAATGGAACAATTGTGAGTTTGTTTGTTTGTTTGAGGTTGTGGGAAATGGTGAAGATGTCTTCATTTATATAAGCAAAATAGTGTGCTATGAAAGTCATTTACGAATGAGTTAGCGACAGTTAATAGCTTAAGGACAAAACGGTGCCGTTTCGTAGCACGATAGGTAATTGTAGGGGATGAATGGTCCTTGTTGTTTTGTTTGAAGAGTGTAGATGGGTACTGTTTTGTTTATTCTGCCCATTTGCTTTTCTTTTTAATTATTTGGTTCAAACAGGATATTTTCAATTTTTGGTGCTTAAAATCTTACCATTGATGCTTTGGTAAGATCTTATGATCTTCATTTTCAAAGATGCATACTACATACGAAATATAAAAGTTATTTTCGTATATTTTATTTCAATTTATTTGAATTTTAAAATTGAATCAAAACTTTCGTATATTTTTAAAAACTAAATAATCTATTTTACTATATTGAAAGACCTTCATCCCATTTTAATCAAAGTGTGATAAAGTGGATTTTTAAAAATTAATATACAATTTAAATTAAAGTCTTAAACGTATAGATTTGTAATAAAGTAATCAAGTTGTTTTTATTTTATTTTAAAAGCTATATTTATTTTTCTTAAAATATAAAACTAAAAATTAAATTAATTATGATAACAACGATAAAATAATCTAATTTTTAAGGAAAAACGTCAACACATTTTTTGATAAAATGTGTAGCAAAATATTAAGTATAATTTAATCGAAATAATAATAATAATAATACCTGAAATATAAACCGCATATTTTTTTTGCACAAAAGAAAAAACACTAGTAACCATAGATTATGAATTACTTTTCTCAATATTCCTTACTTTACACTTAATTAATTAATGTAATGTTAGAATTCACATTTAAAGTTTTATGGAAGAAATATAGTGAAAAAAAACCTAAAAATCTATTATTTTAATGTTTTAGATTAAACGTTGAGTCATATTCATATTATTAAAATAATCTTTTTTACGAGAGTTAAAAATGTTACAGAAGATTTTTTAATCGTGATAATAAATTATTCATATTATATAAATGTTAAGGTACAGTAAAATCTCTATATTTTATCATCATAATAAATTTAAAAGTTTTTTCAAATAATAAAATAAACTTAAAAGTTTTGTCATAAAAATATTATTCCTCCACCATGGAAGTTCTCACTATTTTTTGTTGTTATATTACAATAAATCTCTAAGCTTTCAAAGGGTCGAGTAAAATATTTTTCTCTACATCTACATTAACATTAGTAAATCATTATTTTTTATTTTTGTCTTAACAAAATATTGTTTGTCACTATTATTTTTTCTTATAACAACTTTAAGTATGTTGAAAATATAAATTTTCCTTATTTTTCCACTTGTCTCATTATTTTGCATCCAAGGAGAAGAAAAAAAATGAGAGAAAAATAGAAGACAAGTGGAAACATAAAGATAAAATGAAAGAAAAAAAAGAATAAAATTTTAAATTTTAACGAGACATATGATAACAATTCTTCTATAATCATCATTATATGTGACATACAACTACGATTATAAAATAATTATAGTTAAAAAGTAAAATATACCACGTTTATAAATATAACTATTAGTATATGTTGTTATTTTACCCATATAACAATAATTCATTTAAAATTATTGTCGTATGTCACGTATATAATTGTCATCCGACATACAACGACGATTATAAATAAATCGATAAAAATAATTTCAATATTCTTACCCTATCTTTTTCAAAAATGGTTCCCATATTATTATTATTATTATAGGATATATTTTTTATCTATTTTGTGTGTCATTATCTTGCCTCCCTTAATTAAATCCAATAATAGTAATAATCTCTTTAAAAAAATTAAAAAATATAAAAAAAAACAATATAATATATATTTTATAATATATATTTTTATGAAAAACAAGAACAATTATTTTATATTTTATGAGTACAATAGTCTCAAATGACTTTTAATACTTAGATGAATTTTACATACTCTTTTTCTTTGTGTTTTTGTTTTTACCAAATTCCATTATTTAATTTAACATTATTAATAACATACATTCCCTTAGTTAATATAATGTTAAATTTATCTCAGATTATATATTTTTAAAATTATTCTAACATTAATGAGGTATGTTTTTTTTTCAACTATTTTTATTAATTTAAATTATTTAATCTCTTTTATTATTAATTTATATGCATAAGAATTTTCCAAAAGACTTCTTTTATTATTTATGTCTAACAAGATATATATAGAATATATAAAATACCCTCCAACATGGTTATGATTAAGAGTTAACATACCCTCCACTTACATTAGAAGTTAAATTAGTCCAAAAGAAGTTAAGAGAATTCCTCTAAACAAATACAACTTATTTATATCTTCATTATCACTCATTCAAAAGAATTAGCCGTCTCATAAAACAGGGGATTAACTAAACTTGATTCCTAACAAAATAACTTGACATAACTTTAGGACACTATTTTTTTAATTAAAATGTACATATTTTTGTAAAAGAGATAATGCAGTAAATAAACTCAACTAATAGTTATCATGTGGTGCTTCTAGGATTCACTCCCTACTTATCAAAATTTTACTCAATAATGATTATGTAACTATTAACTACTTCACCCTCACTCCCAAATCCACCAAGTTCGGTTCTATAATTTTGTTTCACTCTTTAACATCTATATCTACCCTTAATCCCAAATCTTAAAACTTTGTTTCACTCTTTAAAATGTAGTAGTTTATTAAAATTATTAAAATTAAACCTCTACTAATTAATATATATACTTTAAACTTTAGTTGTTGTCAAATTGAATCTTAAAATTTATCTTTCTTAAGACAATTTTTTTATCAATTTATGGTGAAATTATTTATTTTGTATATCACTAATTTATTATATTTTAATAATCTATTTCTTCGTATGTTAAAATAGAAAAATATGGATATACAAAAAAAAAACAACGAAAAAATTAATTTAATAAATTCTAAAATTTAATTTCAAAAGTTGAGATTAAATAGAAATCAAGGTATGCATTTATAAAAATTATAAAATTTAAGGATCAATTGAAATAAAATTAAAGTTTATGGTATCTATTTGTAAAATATTTAAATATTAATAAAAATAAAATTCAAATTGTAGGTGTCAATTTATAAAAGTAATACGACATAGATATTAAAATTTGTTTTGAGTTTTGTTATCCTCAAATCACGCTAGTAGTAATTGTTTTTCTTTGTGATATTTCATTTTCTTGATCTATAGCACGTCCAAGAAAGACTTAAACTGATTATTTTTTCTTGAAAGCAAACCCTTTGTCCCGAAGACCTATTTTTTAGGACATGATACAAAGATATTCAACAAATTGAAAAGGATTTGGAGTTTGAAAACGGAGAAATAAATAATGGGTTCAAATTTTATACCAAACCTAAAGATATATAGTACCAAAACCATGAGACACAAGTTGAGTGTGAATAGAACCCTAGCTATATATAACTTTACTACGTTTAAGCCATGAAATTACCACCATATAATATATTGTTCACAAATATGCTTACGAATGTCGTCCACCAAAACGTCTTTGTCTTTGTTGAAATGATTTCAAGGCATCCACAAACTCATCCTTCCCAAAATCTGGCCACAGTTTTGGATTGAAATAAAGTTCTGTGTAGGCCAATTGCCACAGCAAGAAGTTACTCACTCTTAGATCGCCACCAGTTCGTATTAGTAGATCCGGGTTAGGAAATTCAGTGCAGTTAGTTTCCAGTTCCTGTTCGATTATCTTTTCATTGATGTCGTCCAAGTGAAGAACATGATCTTTGACTTTCAGGGCTACACTTTTACATGCTTGCACAACATCATATTGTCCACCATAGTTTAATGCCACAAGAAGTTGGAATCTCGAATTGTGTTTTGTATTCTCCTCTGCTCTTGCTATCGTTCTCTTTAGAGACCGAGGGAGCTTTGGTAAATCTCCGATCACAGACATTCGAATTCCTTCCCTATAACATGATTATAAAAGTGGCAAACAAAAGTTAATTAACCAAATATTACTTTATTACTCGTTTGATCACAGTTAATTATCTTCGACTCACATTTTCATACACTCAATTACAGAGTTTATTGTTGTTTCACACAGTCTCATGAAGGAGTCAATTTCCACCTGCATCACCACACCACAAATAGCACTCTACTCAGCAAGACAAAACAAAATCTAGGTTACGAAAATGCATGCACACATTGAATATGGAAAGACATGAAAGACCGTGGGGCGAGTCAAGTTCTCAGTGGAGCACGCGAAAACCGTGAGAACCTCAATGCCCCAACTGCAACACAGCTTCACCACCCTCCTCAGTGATTCCACTCCCGCTCGGTGCCCTGCCGTCGCCGCGAGCCCCCTTGCCTTGGCCCACCTACCGTGCCCATCCATGATCATTGCCACGTGCTTTGGCATCAGCTCCGCCACCAACTCCGCCGGAAGCTTCTCCGAGGACTCTCTAGCTAGTAAGGTTCCGTGGTCTTTAAGTGTGACGCTGGGCGGAGCTGCGGCTGAGCGGAAACGAAGAGGATAATAAAGAGAATGAGAGGAGAGTGAAGAGTTGTTTGGAGAAAGAGGCGTAGGGAGTGTAAAAGAGAACATTGTGTTCGTGAATTCACCACTGGAACGGGAAGATTACTTGCTTTTTTGTTGAGTGCGTGCAAAACGCCAAGAGCCTCTTGCTTTATATTAGAATACATTGTTGCATGTGAGTCAAAATCGGTTGAATGTGCGTGTCCACTCACTCGTATAACTCACTATACTTGTATAAATCGGTTAATTTTTTTATATGTAATTTAACTCGTGTAACTCATTAATTCCATGGGTCAAAAGAGGTGACCTTATGTCTGGAGAAAATTATGAATAACTTCAATTACATCACGTGACTTTTGACTTTGTTCAGCTCTTTCGTATTTTTCAACTCTCTTCCTATTCCCACACCCTTTGTGGTCAATCCATGATGTTCTTGCCTCTACATGCTTGGTTTATCAAATGCTTCCAACATCTATTGGTATTGTTCGTTATATCTAACACTACATACTACGTAAGTGTTTTCCTAATAGAAAAATCACGTTATTTTTTTTACTTGTGTAAGTGATTGTACAATATCTTATTTCTTAATAAAAGTCGCGTAATTTTTTATTGATAAGCATATGGAAAATTGAATTGTTCATATGATATTTACAAGGAACGATTAAGTTTTATTGTCTTTTTTTTCTTCTTTAACTTAAATGCTTTTACAAAGGATCCCTTATTTTGTCTTGTGTTTACTTTCTTACACAAAGCTAACATTTATGAGTTGAAACTTAAAATGTTTCTTTAAAAATGATTAAATATTTGAATATATATTTTGCTTTATTCAAATTTTAAATTGTGTTGTATTGTGAACAATAACTTTGATATATATTTGATATGTACTAGAAGAATTAATTAACTTATTAAAGTATCAAGATAATATTGTTGTAAAATCTCATGAGATTTTTAGAGAATACTTGTAAGTATTTTTGGCAATGAAATTTCATTTAAGAGTTGTTATTCTCAAAAGTAAAGTAGGGTGGTAATGAATGAGGTTTTTTTTTTCTTATTCTATACTTGTTTTTATTCAATTATGGGTTTTTCGCGTTGGTTTTTTTAGTTGGTTATTATCCAATGTCGGCTTAGCACAAACTCCAAAATTGTATTTGGGTAAGATATCTTGAGTATTTATCATTTATAATATAAGTTATTCGAGGAGTGGGTTATCCTAGACACTACACAGTTTCTTAGCCTCAAATGTCAATGCTGAGACTATTTTTGTAACTTTGTCAATCATTCAATCTTTACACGAGTTACACTCGGTACTTAGCCCAAGTCTCTTTTTGAACAACTCAAACGTCAAATGTTATATTAAACACTATTACTAACATTATGTCACATCTTTTCACATCATGTACGTGGTGTGCACATGTCTTTCACCGCGTCCCTTTGTCTTCCTCACCCAATACTTGATCTCTCTTTTCGCATCTCATTCATTGCTCTTTGTTCTCTTTTATTCCTGTATCAACTTTTATCCCTTCGTTTTCATCTACATCTTCACATCTCTATTAGGGCCATTTTCTGGATCAACCTCACAGGGTTGTAATGTAGACTGACCTCACAGGGTTGTTATGTACATCGGCCTCATGGGGTCGCTATGTAGACCGACCTCACAGGACTGCTATATAGGCTGACTTCATAGGGTCACTATGTAAAGTAATTCGAGATTTCCAGTTAACATTTATTTTATTCATCCAACTTGGAGGAAAAACCCTGAGGGGGAAGAAAAACCTTCTAATTGCATTAGTACAATAGTTTATTAATTGAAGGAACTTCCAACACATAAGTAAAAAATAAATCAACTATAATAAAAGCGTAAGCTGGTGTCATTCCACATTCGGGGGATGGGTCCTTTGCTGAGGGTCTCCAGTCTATACACGCCATTTTTTTTATTATTTTTGTCACTCGATAGGGGCCTGTCCATTAGGTTGAGAGCTTGTTATGGATTTGGTTTGGTTGGACGCATCTCAGCACAAGGCCCGATATCCTAAATGCTCGAGAGCGAGTCTTTGTGGAATAGGCTAGGCAAGCTCGACATTTTGTCGCCTTGATTCGAATGTGAGCCTTGTCGCATGTTTCATCAATATAGTCAAGGTATGCCCTAAGCGCATGTTCAAAACTTCTCTTTGAAAATCTCACTACTTCCTCAGTGGGTTCTACAAACTTCAATGGGAAGCATCACATCTATTCCATAGAAAGGTATCTCACATGTAGTAGTTTGGACTGTGGTGTGGTATGACCACACCACATTTATTCTCAGACAAAGACTAGTATAACTTTTTTTTATAAAGATAATCTTCAATCTGCATCTTCCCAAATTTGAAAATCGATTTCATCGAACTTGTCAATCTTTACTCTCTCATCTTCTGCCATTGTTCCTAGTTGTATGGAAAAAAAAACCCTTAAACTCTTGATACTAGTTGTTGAGAACACAAATGCAATACAAGATGAAAATAAAAAATAAGGACACAAAGAATTTACGTGGTTCAATCAAAGTAACCTATGTCTACGACTGCACTAAATAATAGTTCTTATTCACTCAATTAGGTTTACAATTATATAAGTATTTATAATAAAAGAATTAGTAAATGGTTCAGAGTCAATAACCCTTCAAACTCCATGTACTTAACAACAAAGATATCCAAATTAGCTAAAGAATAATACTAACTTAAAAGCATTGTTGCATGTTTCTAGGATTTACCTTAAACAAATATAAAGAGTTACAAGATATGATAAAGAATCATGTATGACAGGGACTATGATAATCATTAAACAATAAACCTTTTAGAGTTTCTTTCAAGGATTGTTGATGGAGAAAAAGAAGATTATGTCTCTTAGATCAATGATTGATGTATTAAGCTAGAATTCATCATTATGAAGATGACAAATTTTAAGCCAAATTGCTTTCTTATATTTTTTTGGTAAAATTTATCAATACGAAGATGAAAAATTTAAAGCCAAATTACTTTCTCAGGGGTTTATGCATTTCTTCATGTCTTGATGGTTAAATCAAGATTACGAAAATAACATGATATATATCAATCTTTCAACATCAAATATATGTCAAATTTATTATATTGTATAATTTTTCAAATATTTTCTTTTACAAATTGTTTATCTTTATTATTATATAACCACATTACTCATTTTAACTTTTTCTTTTCTCTTCGTAATTAAAGAAACCAATGTATCTCTCTCCCTTTATTGTAAAATTTATCGTGAGAAAATTCTCACAAAGTTCTTATCTCTTTTAGTATATAAAACAAAAAGTATTTAATATATATAGAATTTGAATAACAAGTGGCGAATAAAAGTTAATTCGACGACTTTAATGTTGAGAACGATGTTTCCGTTATGTAATGCATAAACGTGTGAACTGTAATTTTTTGGAGGAATAAGAAATATAAGTTGTGTATTCTCATTCAATAATAAAATAAGATACAATTAATAACTTTAACATAAAAAAAATCATTTTTATAATACCATATGATTAATTAACCATGTAAAAATTATATTGACAATACATAATCATTTAACTAAAAAACATCTTATTAAAAAGTCTGTTAATTATTATATAAATTTATATTTAAATTATGATTATTATATAAATTTATATTTAAATTAATCTTCATAAAATAAATAGATAACAGATATAAAAATACGATTTTACGATAATTTCAACATCTAGGAGAATATATGTATAAAATTGATATTTGCCAAGGTTTGAAATCTTCGTTCGATTCATGTGTTTATAATATTGAAATGTTAAAAATCAATTCATAATAATGAGAGGGACTAAGAAGGGTTGCATGTGCACATTTTCATCTCTTTCCCATTTTTGGTTCATTTTGTAGAATGACATACTAAGACTTAACCTCATTCCAAAACCAGCACTTAACAAATACTAAGAGTACCCAAAAAGTTATTACTTATAATGTGTTCGTAGAGGAAGCTTTAAGACAATATTTTTTTTATGATAAATATATATTTAGATGCATGAAAATTGTATATTTCAGACGGATTTTTATCGACGGATTTGTAGTTGTCGAAAAATGAGTCATTATCAATGGATATAAAAAATTTGGTCTTACTTGACGGATATATCCGTCGGTAAATTAACAATTAATTACCGAAGGATATATCCGTCGATAAATTAGTCTGTAAATTAACATTTATTTATCGACGGATATTTCCGTCGATAAATCCATCGGTAAATTAATAATTAATTACCGACGGATATATTTATCGGTAAAATTATATAATAATTACTTAATATATTCTAATAAATTAATTATTCACCTAATTAAAAAATTAAATATTTTTTATTTAATAATTTAATTTAATTATAATTAGATTAATTTATAATAATTTATTAAATTAAATAATTTTAAAAAATTAATATTTAATTATATATAAATATAATTTATTTGTAAATTATTATAAAAAAAAATTTATTAATTTAGTGGTTGGAGTATTAGTCTTCAATTCTAAGGAACTGGGTTGAATTACGTCCATAATCATTCTTTTAATCTCATAATAACTCATATTATAATGAAAAATAAATAATAATAAAAATATTATTATTTATTTATTCATAAAATAGGAATTCTAACATTTTTAATTAGGTATTGTAATCTTGATTTAGACTTTAATTGAGTGAGTTATGTTAAATATAAAATGAGTAACTTAAAATGTATCTAAATTTGAGCGGCTAAAACTTTAAATACTCTCAATTGGACCAACTTGTATTGAGATGAAAGTTAGAAACTTCGCCTAATCTTTTCATATGCACTAGATTCAATGTTTTTAGTATTAATTATAACATAACATGCCAAAGACAAACACGTAAAATTAAGTAAAAAAAAAGTAAAAATTAAGAATTATCATTAACTCAAATTTACGTGTACAATAAATAAATAAATAAATAAATAAATATATATATATATATATATATATATATATGTATATATAAAAATGCTGAATTAGTAGTGAAACATATATTTAAAATTTTAAGTTTAATACGAGTGTAACTAAATTTAATAAAATAATATCATTTAATAATATAATAAATACATTAAAAGATTAAATATTAGTAGTTGTAAAAGTATGTGCATTTAAAGTTGATGGGATTTGCTTAAGATAAAAAATAAAAAATATTATATTTTTTATAAAAACATATTTAAAAAAATAATTTTATTTTATTAAAAATCAAACAAGATTTTTTAAATTTAACAGTTTTATACCAAAAATTTTAATGATTTTATATTAGTTTAATTAAAATATGATTTTTTTAAAACAGTAGCACATTAGGTATATTGTCATTTTATAACTGTTTCTCATAACCGTTGTTGTATAAATACTAATAATTATTCATAGTGAGCAGATGCCAAAATGGTTTAAGTATGAAGAGTCCATTCACCTAAAATGATGAGATGAACGGTTCAGATTTGATGGTCAAGATGGGAAGGATCCACTTAAAAATAATATTTATATATTAAAATAAAAATATTATATATTTTTATTATATTACTGAGATATTTAAATATATTATAATATTATAATTTAAATTATAAAATTTAATTAATTAAATTTAAATTATTAATTATAATTAATTATTTTGATGTATATATATAATAAAATTTTTAATTTATCTAATAAAAATATTAATTAATAAATAAAATTTAAAAATTATTTATATAATTTTATATATATATATATATATATATATATATATATATCTTTATATAAAAATATAAAATTTATTAGGCTAGTCTGCAGCCTATTTTTATTGGGCCAAAAACAGTACTGATCAAAACAAATCGGACGGACCATTTTGGTCTCCTTTCTAATTCTTAAAACATGAAAAACCATCATCCTTTATATTTAATATAGTTTTAATTTATTTTAAACACTTTTTAATTAAAGTTAGTAAATAAGTCTTAATAATTTTTTTTTAAGTTTTTTTTATAAATTAAATCAAACTATTTTATTAATTGAAAAACACTTTTAATATAATTTCCAACTTTTATCATACTAATTTCAAATGAAATAATAATAATAATATAAATAATATTTGACATTTTTAAAAAAATTGAGTGCCTTAATTTCAATATTTTATCATCGTTTAAATTTTGTTATAAAAAATTTTAATTTTATAAATTTACTTTTTTTTTTTATTGAACTTGATAGCTATTTTTAAATGTTACTAAGTTTTTTTTTCTTAACTTAAAGGAAAATTTTGAGTTAAAAAGCATAAAAACCAACAAACTAATATATATATAAATCATTGAAATAAAATAATTATATTATTAAATTACAATAAAAAATTATTAGTTTTTTCTTCTTTTATCACAACAATGAAAAGTAATATATATAAAATAATAAATACATTAATAAAATGTTTATATAAAATAGATATTACATGCAATTGTTTTCATATAATATTTGTTAAGCAAATAATAATTATTTATATGAGAATAAATATCCATAATATATTAAAAATTGAAAATAAAGTATAAATAATTACCTTGTTTTATTGAATTAAATACCTAAAATATAATTTAATTATTTTTAATTTAAAATTTCTTTGCTGTTGTGTTTTTTTATTAATGTTTTTATTTTCAGTATTAAACTATGTATACTTAAGAGTAAGAACTGGAGAATATTAAAAATTTCAATTTTTATTTTTCAAGGATTAAAACAAGATGAAACTGTATGTATGAACTTAAACTATAGTTAATTAATTTAGTCATTTATTTTTTCACAAGTGTTTTGGAGAAATTTATTGGCTACAGAATTCCTTTTATTTATAACTTTTAAAAAAAATATCTAAATGAAAATAATATTTATGATTATAGAAAGAATACTTAATTATTATTTTTCTATATTCATATGATTTATTGAATTTAATTTATATGTTACTAAAAGCTCCAGTTAGTTATCATAATTTTTAAATTACATAAATTTGATTTCTTCAAATATTCCGATAATAAAATAGTCAATTTAGTACTAATATAAAGAGTGAAGAATTTAATTAAATCTGTTAACAATATCATCAACAATATTGAATAATATATAAATATAAAAACAAAAACAGTAATTTAAATAAAAAAATGGCAGGTGAGAAACATAGGCATTTCTGTAACTGGCCTTATGCACGACGTGTATCATCCCACAGCCGATAAAATAACTGGTTTGTCCATTTCGGTGTCAGACTCATCATCTGCGCCTTTCCATTTCCCGCTTCAATTCCCAGTCACCGCAAAGGTTTCTCCTTTTATGGCACCGCTTACTCGAAGAACTGCGTTTCCCAAGGTTCTCATTGAGAGGGATTCTGATTCAGAACAGAGTTCATCCGAAGAAGAAGAAGGAGAAGAGGAAGTACTTGAAGAAGAAGATGATGGGGTTACGACTGCAAATGAGAAGACTGAGAATCTGGAAGAAGATTCGGACATAAAGAGAAAAGGGAAAGCCCCCATCACTATTAGTCTCAAAAAAGTTTGCAAGGTTACTTTTCTTTTTCTTTTAAATTTTTATGTTATAAAGTTCGTTTTTTTTTTTTTTCTCACTATTGGAATGATTTTCCCGTAATGGAACTTGGGTGATCTTGTAGGTATGTAAGAAGCAAGGTCATGAAGCGGGGTTCAAGGGTGCTACGTACATTGATTGCCCCAGGAAGCCTTGCTTTCTGTGTAAAAAGCCTGGTGAGTATTGGTGTCACTCTTCATTTATCTATTATGATGGTTATGTTTGTGGCATTACTTATTTTTTGGTGTTCTCTGCCATGATCGTACTTCGATAAGCCATTGAATTTGGAGTAAATAGTGTATGCAAACTCAGTATTTTTTTTTTTTTTCAAAAATCCTTATCGTATAAGTCATAATCATCACATGATTTCTAATGATCATGATTTTTTATTTGTTGACATTGTCAGAATGACCATGCTTAGAGATTAAACTCTTTTGTGTTTTTGAATCGAAGGACACACCACTTTGACTTGCCCACATCGCGTCTCAACTGAGCATGGAGTTGTCCCAGCACCCCGTAAGAAAACGTTTAAACCTTTGGAATACGTGTTTGAACGCCAGCTAAGGCCATCCCTTCCTTCAGTAAGTCTAACTTTTTTTTTCTTTAGTTTGCTCAATGCCGATAATTGAGTTGGTTATGTATGAGTATGTGGTTCATTTTGCTCTTTACTTGTTATGATCAGGCTATACCATATACTTAACCTGTGAAGGTAATACCCACCGTATATGAGTTGGGAACTTTGGCCTATCGAAATGTTAGTCAATGTTGTCAATTTTTAATTACAACATTGAAATTATGCTAAAGCAATCTGATCTGCCGAGTTTTATCTGTTATCCTTGTAGTTGTTTCTGACATTTTCGTAGGAATTTATTATAACTGTGTTGCTCCTGAACATTCTCACCTTAGCATAATTTTTTGCTTCAAGAGAGAGTATAGTATATCATTTTGGTTTTACCCAGATAATGTTCTTGCAAATTGTGTAGCTAACTATGTGCATCAAGTTGCCACAGTTGATAATATTTTATGGATATTCTTGGCATTTAAGCAATCTATGACTTCCTAATGTTTATGTTTCTTTGTTAAAGGTTATTTATCACGCACCCTAGTATTTTTGTGTTCTGATTATGATAAGTTTTTCTTTTCTCTGTTAGATCAAGCCCAAATATGTGATCCCAGACCAAGTGAATTGTGCTGTCGTTAGGTATCACAGTAGACGGGTAACATGCTTGGAGTTTCACCCGACAAAGAATAACATCCTGTTATCTGGAGATAAGGTTGCTATATTAAATTACATCACTTGATATTAATTTTATGGTTGCTCACATGCTTTTGATTTTAGCCACTGATTTATTTGTCTTCTTGTTCTGATGCTAAAAGAAAGGGCAACTTGGAGTGTGGGATTTTGGAAAAGTATATGAGAAGATGGTCTATGGGAACATACATTCTTGTATACTGAACAATATGAGGTATCTTTTTGTAATTGTTCCTTGCCTTCCTTCATATTTGGATTTATTTTATTGTCTTAGTCTTAGCCTGAAGTCCAAAGATTATGTTCTAAATAGAAAATTTTGTAGGTTTAATCCTACAAATGATTGTATGATCTATTCTGCATCGTCAGATGGAACCATTAGTTATACTGACTTGGAGACAGGACTGTCATCCTCTCTAATGAACCTCAACCCTGATGGATGGCAGGTATTTTTCTCTTAGGTTTTTGCTCTTATTTCATGACCTCTCTTTAACTGGGTAACTACTTGGATATCACCGTTTTTCTTTTGGAGCACTATTTGTGAATTGTACATCTTCATATTTGGATACCTTACCTATCATGATTTTCTCTTCTGCTGTGCCCTGCACTTCCAGTTGTGCTGCTTTAAGATTGTAATTTTTTCATGATTGTGGTGTTACTTTTTTTTTGTTAGATGGGGATGCTGGATAGTATATGAACTTTCGGTTTTTAAGTTTTTATTGGAAAGATCTGTAGCAGCATCATGTTTTAGCTTTAGCTTATACCCTGAATTTGTCTTAACTTTTGGCAGTAAACTTTACTTGTATATTTATTTTATATTAGGGTCCAAACACTTGGAAAATGATCTATGGCATGGATATTAACAGTGAGAAAGGTGTTGTTCTTGTTGCTGATAACTTTGGTTTTCTCTACATGTAAGTAGCTTCTTTGGGTCCCCTCCTCTTGAAATTATTTTGTTTTTATGCTTGTATTTAGTGCTTTTCTGTAAGAGTATACGTTATCAATTCGATGCCCAATTTACACGGTGTCATGTTTTTACTATTTTTCTAGGTGTGCACATAGTTCTCAATCGCAATTTATTCTCACTCCAACTCGGGCTAGCTATAAATTTTGAACTTGTATTTCTGATTTCTTTTCATTCATGGCCACTGTGAAGGGTAGCAGTTAAAGTGCAATGTAATTGCCGCGCAGCATCTGTTATGTTATGATTACATTAAGAATTTGAAGGTTCTAGAGAACTTTTTACTTGGGTACAGCATGTATTGACTTTGTTCATTTTAAATGATTTAAAATATTTAATGGTAGACAATAACATGAAAAATTTTTATAATTGGGTTTTCTTAGTCAGGGATGAAAATTCTAGCGCTATAATTCATACCTATGCTTTTTCATTCGTGAAAAAAAAAAAAACTAAGTATGCATAATATCTTGTGTCATTTGTAGGGTTGACATCCGCACCAACCACAGGAATGGAAATGCAATTTTGATCCACAAAAAAGGAACAAAAGTTGTCGGTATCCATTGCAATCCAATTCAACCAGACATCCTTTTGACTTGTGGAAATGATCATTTTGTGAGTTTTTCAGTTTTATTCATATATTGAATTTGTCCAATTGATATTTGAATTTACATTGCTTGCTGGGTATGCTAAACTTTATATATTTTAGGCTCGTATATGGGACCTGCGATATATAGAAGCTGAAACATCCATCTATGACCTCAAGCATAAGCGGGTCGTTAACTCTGCATTTTTCTCTCCATTATCTGGAACCAAAATTCTCACTACATCACAGGACAACCGTCTTCGAATATGGGATTCCATCTTTGGTAATATGGACTCTCCTAGCCGAGAAATAGTACACAGCCATGATTTCAATCGGCATTTGACACCCTTTAAAGCTGAATGGGACCCAAAGGTGATTTTATTTTATTTTATTCTTCCAGTTGTTTATGATGTCATGTTATGCTTCCTTATGTTCTCTGCCTTACAGCTGCAGAAACAATGTTGTTTATGTAATTGCAGGATCCATCTGAGTCCCTTGCTGTTGTTGGTCGTTATATAAGTGAAAATTATAATGGGGCTGCCCTCCATCCCATTGATTTTATCGATACAAGTACAGGGCAATTGGTAGCTGAAGTGATTGATCCAAACATCACAACGATCAGTCCAGTGAATAAGCTGCATCCACGTGAAGATATCCTGGCCACTGGGAGTTCAAGGTTTGGCTTATCTTTTTAATCCTGAAGTATTCAATGATGAAAATGACGAAAGAACTAATGATGAATTCTTGACAAAATATCCAGTGGTGAATTCGTCAGGTTGATGTCATTTTATTCGACTATTGATGAAATTCAAACCTTTTAGCATTCTGTTATGATGAAACTTTTAAAAGTAGAAATTGAAATTTACAAGTTTTCTGTAACTAGCACTATTAGAACCATTGTTTATTCCCTCCAAACAAAGTGTATTGTTATTAAAGATGATACATATGGCATTGTGTTCAACTCTGGCAAAGTGCAGACTCAACCAAGGTTTAAGAGCATCATTGTGACAATTGTCCAATGTTGTAACTATCAAATTTTTGTTTTGATATAACCCATTTAATTTTTTTGGATTCAGAACTTGATTTCTTCAATGATGGATGTAAAAAGCAGTAGCACCTAGGTGCGCTGTCATTGGTTTCTTGGTTCTTGGACTTACCTACCATAACTTTGCAGATCTCTGTTCATTTGGAAGCCCAAAGAGAAGTCAGAGCTTGTTGAGGAGAAGGATGAAAGAAAAATTGTGGTAGGTGGAAGAGCTGAGAAGAAGCGTGGTAAAAGAAATGGTGATATTAGCGATGAATCTGACGATGAAGTATTCTCGTCCAAGTCCAAGAAGTTAAAGTCCACAAAGACTCAGCGGAAATTGTCTCACCGCTCTACTAAGGATAAACGCTGAATGAATCATAACTCTTGCAGAGTGTCTTGAGGAATCTCTTTCAGTTTTTTTAAAGGTTTTCCAATCATGTATGGTGGGTGGTAAATCCCTCACCTCCTTGTTTTGTTATTTTTTTGAAATTGGATGGGTGCTGTTATGGCATTGTTGGCTTGTTCCACTGGATGTAAGATTTGAGTGATTTTGTACCAGATACAAGCCTTCTGCCACCATTCTGGTTTTAGTAGTTTGTAGTGCTAGTGTATATCATATTAAAAGATAATGCGCTATAGTATTTTAGGATATAGTTATAGGTTTTGTTGGATTATACCTTTTTCCGATGTTTGTATGGTATAGTCTCTTCAAGGTAATTTAGATTGACATCTTATCTCCATTATCGTCTTTTTCTATAAATGCTTCGTTGCAAAAGATGCAAGCTTTATTTCGAGGGCAAGCTTTATGAATTGGTTACCTGTAACATTGCATCCTCCCCCCTAAATTAATACCGTCGTTGTTGATTCATGCAGCTAGATCGACTGTTCTGTTTTTTAAAATCTTGTTAACATAATCTCCAGTTGATTTTGCTAGAATTTTAAAGCAATATTATTAATGTACTAAATTTAACTTTATTATATATCTATTGACAAAAACTCGTTTATCATATTTAATTGGGTAGGCAAGGAAAAAAAATATTTTACAAAATTAAAAACAGGGATAAAAAAAATCGTTCATTCTTTCTGAATCTTTTTTTTTTAATCTTTATAGTTTAACCAGCATCTCCATAAAAATTGATAATATTATATTTGATGGAATTGGTAATCCAGAAAAGTAATTTTTGAATGTAATAGGGAAATCCAAAAAAAAATAATAATAATAATAATAAATGGATCTGGAATATATATATATATATATATATATATATATATATATATTTTTTTTTTTTTAATTTCAGATTAAACCATTCAAAATTTATAAAAAAATTATATCTTTCTAAGTTTTATAAAAACCCTTCGGATTAGTGAATAAGAAAAAATTTCAGATTGACGGATTTAAACTATGGTTGATAAAAAAACATTTAAACAGGGTTTGGCTTCCGGGTACATTGACAGTAAAGGCGCAGTTTTCGGTGGCGAGAGTGTTGAGGTACAGGGAGAAAAGGAAGAACCGAAAGTTGGAAACGAGACAAAGGGTCAAAGGCAGGTTCGCCAAACGGTCTGCTATTGCTTACTGAGAGAAGGGGATGATGGCAATTGCACTTCCTTTCTATGGCTGCTGTGCAGATTTCGCAAATCAAATTCTGGAATACTATTGCTATTAGGTTTCTTTAATCACAAATTATATTTAATCCTGAGGTGAGTAACGTAGGAGGCCACTGTGTTTCTCTAAGTAGTTTAAGAAAGTAGTTTTACTAAATATAAGGTTTTATAAAAACTGAGGATATTACACATGTAAATTGTTTATTTTTCTTCTGCAATTGCGTTCTCAAAATATAGTTATTAATATAAAAAATATTGTTACAATTTTAAAATGCAAGTTCATATGTCAAAATCCATTTTAATTTGAAGACATCACCGTATTGATTCAGCATATTCAGATTTTTATAAAATTTGAATCTCAAATTTAAGAAATAATTAGTTTTAATTTTGGTAATAAATATCTGTTACCAGAAAACAATCCACGTCCTCTTTGTTTTAATTTGAGTACTGATTATATAATATACAATTTTAAGAAAAAAGGAAAACCAGTGACTGGGAGTACAATGATTAGAAGCTGCAATCCTGAAGAATAGGACAACAAACACTCCCAAATGGTCACACTCGGTAAGCATGCAACGCCACAGTGGCGTAACAAACAAACACCATCAAATTCGGACACCATCGAATTCGGGACATTCCGTCATCTCACCACACTTCCAAATTCCCAACCCATTCCTCTTCTCAATTAAACTAATCCACACACCAAACTCCCTCTTTTTCACAAACAAACACATAATCTCCTCCACTTTCTCAAATTTCCCAAACACGAAACTGTTACAGAGAGAGAAAGCTAGAGAGACAAATAATGGCTGCTTCCGATGGAAGCGAGTACTTCGAAATTGGATCAATCGGGAGTGAGAGCTTTGCTAGAGCCTCCAACGCCGACACTGTAACAGAGGACGAGGAGGAGCTGCAGTGGGCGGCGCTCTCCAGGTTGCCGTCGCAGAAGCGCATCAACTACGCTCTCCTCCGCGCCTCCTCTTCCCGTCCGCAACCTCCTACGCAAGGCTCCGTCACCGGCACTGAGAATTTAGTCGACGTTCGAAAACTGAGCCGCTCTCGCCGCGAACTCGTTGTCAATAAAGCTCTCGCCACCACCGGCCAAGACAACTACCACCTCCTCTGCGCCATCAAAGAACGCCTCGAGAGGTTTCGCTTTCTAATCGTGTGATTAGTTTTTTTTTTTCTTTCTATTTTCCGCATCTGCAATTTTTCGAAATTACAGATCCATAATTCAATATCGCTATATATTTTTGTTGCTGTTTTTCGATTAGGGTTGGATTGGAGGTGCCGAAGGTCGAGGTGAGGTTCAAGAACCTGAACGTCTCTGCCAATGTTCAAATCGGTTCCAGAGCTCTTCCTACTCTGATTAATTTCTCTCGCGATTGCTTTGAGGTTAACTCCAGAGCTTCTTATATGCTTAATAAATTATCACATACAAATAGAACTCTTTCTATTTGTATGATCTTAAAACCTTATCTTGCAAAGTTCATTATATGATGGAAAGAGGATTAAAAACCGAAAAACAAATTAACTTACATTAAAGTCTGACTGTGAGTTTAGTGTCTTTACTTAATAATAACAAAGTGTTGCATGCGTTTGTGCGCAGGGTATACTAACCAAGTTGAGGTTGTGTAAACCTAAACGGCATTCCCTTACCATACTTAACGATATCAGTGGCGTCATCAAGCCTGGAAGGTAACCGTGCTTTTTCTTCTGTTTTTGCGCACTTTCGTCCGCGGTTCGTCCATGTTGTTTACGCAACCGATCCGGCGATTCGAGTTATTTAACTTTCCTGATAGACATCATGGATCGCGTCAAAGAGTAGTTATTTTGGATTTAGGGCGTAACGTGATGGTAAAAGTATCACGGGTGTATATTTCTTTATTTGATAGGTTCAGAGATTTCATGTGTGCTGTAACCGTTATTCTACTTTTTTGCTCCACTGCAGGATGACTTTGCTATTAGGACCTCCGGGAGCGGGTAAAACCAGCTTACTTCTGGCTCTCGCTGGCAAGCTTGACAAAGCCCTCAAGGTGATTATTAATATATATATATATATATATATATATATATATATATATATATATATATATATATGTATATATATGTATATATATATATATATATATAATTTTCTTTTTAAATAAAGATATATAAATACTTTTTAATTTATAAAGCTTGGTAATAACCAGAAGGAGATCATTAATATTTTTTCTTAAATAATGATATAAAAACCCATTTTAATTTACAAATAGTTCATCAATATCTATCATATTTTTTTCATTTGTCTATCATATTATTTATTATTTCTCACATCTATATTTTTTCTTTATAAAGTCCCAATAATTTTGTTTATTGATAAATGAATACTATGGATGTATTCATTTTTCTTAGTGAGAAATATTACTAACAACCTTATAAGTGAGGGAAAGAGAACATGTAATCGTCTTTTGTACAAAAGTGATGATAGATATACAACACCTTTAAATAAAATATTCACTGAACAACTCTATATTAATATAATAATCATACATAAATAAAAATTAATTAAAAAATAATATTAGATTATTAAATAAAAATTGTCTAATAATTATTTTCTAAAAGGAATAGTCAATCCTTTTCCTTTGTATAATTTCTATCCCACAACTTATTTTAACAACATAGGTCATTACTGTGAGAAAGAGAAAGTAGAATAAGATGAGTAACAGTGTTCTTGTTGGCAAACTTTATCAATAGACAAGAATATAAAAATTAAAAAATAATGTATAAATTTGATATTAATTTATCTAATAACTAACTTTTAGTTTACATATACAAGTTAATTTAATTTATAGAGTTTTTTATTTTCTTCTCTTACATGTTTTATAGAAAAATTTATTTAAATAGGATTTCTTCATATATATATATATATATATATATATATATATATATATATATATATATATATTAAACCTGTTCAGAAATAAAATTGTAAGATGTTGATTTAATAAGAAAGAAAAACGAGATCTATAAAGTTTTATAATTTTTAGCAAATTTTAACTGATAATAGAAATTTGTGTTAAACAATTAATGTTACTATTTTTTTAATTTTTATTTATTTAAGTGGTTGATTAGCTATAATTTTTTAAAGGTTGGTTAGAAAGTGTTTTTTTTTTCCTTTAAAAAGCTAACACTTTTAAAAACCATGCACAGTTTAAAATACGTTATTCTTGCTGTTATGTATCTACAGAAAACTGGTAATATAACATACAATGGCCACGAGATAGATGAGTTTTATGTTCGACGGACTTCTGCATACATTAGCCAAACAGATGATCACGTTGCAGAACTGACCGTACGAGAAACTTTGGATTTCGGTGCTAGATGTCAAGGTGCAGAAGAAGGCTTTGCAGGTAAACATTAATTTAATTATGTTGAAGAGTTTCTATATATTTGACAATTAAATTTGTGCAACAAATGCGCTTAACTCTCACAGCATATACGAGTGAACTGGGCCGCCTAGAGAAGGAAAAGAACATACGACCTAGTGCAGAAGTTGACGCGTTTATGAAGGTTATCATCCTGAATGTCTAGTATGAAAATGATGACGCATGCCTCCACGTGTCTATTATGGGCTATCCCGCTGTCTAATGAGAAATTTGATTAACTTCACAGGCATCATCTGTCGGAGGTAAAAAACACAGCGTGAATACAGATTACGTTTTGAAAGTGCTTGGCCTCGATATATGTTCAGAGACAATAGTTGGCAACGATATGATACGAGGGGTCTCTGGCGGCCAAAAGAAGAGAGTTACAACAGGTCTCTCTCTCTCTCTCTCTCTCTCTCTCTCTCTCTCTCTCTCTCTCTCTCTCTCTCTCTCTCTCTCTCTCTCTCTCTATATATATATATATATATATATATATATATATATATATATGTTCGGAACCTTTATTATTTGTTTCTGTCCCAGGACCTCCCCTTTTTCCCTCTTTCTTTTTTAGTTTAATTAAATGTTTCTAATCATAATTGTATAACAATACATATATACTTGTTGAAGCTATACATAAACCATCTTCAACTTAAAATTAGATGATGAGTCTAACTTGATTTTTTCATTTTTACTTATAATTTATAATTTTAACTCAAGTTTGATTCCTAAATCGCATGCACCCAAGATTTTTGTAACCATCTGCTTGACACCCGCTTAAAAGCTAGGAAACAAAGGGAAGATAACTCATTTAAAATTCAAAATATGGAAATGAAATAGCTGCAAGTTAAGTATTTTCCAATATTCTGATAGAAAAATATTCAATATTCACCAATTTTTCTTCAAAACCCATTAAACACCTATAAACTGGCATTTTTTATTTTAAATTTAAAATAAAAGTATTTCTCCCACTTGTTTCTTGCTTTTTAGATGGGTGTCGGAGAAGGGTTTGCAAAATTTGAGGCGTATGCTTCATTTTGTTAATATAGCATTAATTGTTACTAGTTAGTAGGTCGCTTCTAGATTCACAAGAGTTTCTCCATAGTCTAAATGTTTTATGATTTTTTAATCATTGTTTTAAAAATTAGATTCAATCTGTTTAATAAAAAATGGGTCTAGAAATTAATATATCATTTTTTAAATAACTAAATTAATATAAAATTAAAAAATTCGATTAAATTTTTTATCGAATTGATTGTGATAAAAATAAAATTTAAAGATTATTTTTTTAATATATTTTTTATATTTTATATTAATTATATTAATTTTAAATAATAATTATATTAATTTAAATAATAATTATTTAATTATATTTTATTTTATTTCAACTATTATTATTTTAATTTTTTAATATATTTTATATTTACATTTTTTATTATAATTTACATTAACATTGATAATAATAATAATAATAATAATAATAATAATAATAGTTATTATTATTATTTAAATATTATTAAGAAATTTATTATATATTATTATCATACTATAAAACCATTATTTTATTAAATTTTATTTATTTATGTTTAACTTTGTTGCTGAACTTTTAAACCTGAGGCATGTAGATATAATTTTAAAATCATTGGTTTTATCTGCATTTGTAATAGAGCACAACAAACACAGTGATAACTCTGATTTAAGTCGGTGCATTTGCAGCAAACTAATGACTTCTTGTATTGCATCTTTTAGGAGAAATGATTGTTGGTCCAAGAAAAACACTATTTATGGATGAAATATCAACTGGTCTTGATAGCTCTACTACGTTCCAGATAGTAAGATGCATAAAGAATTTTGTTCATCAAATGGATGCTACAGTACTCATGGCTCTCCTTCAACCAGCTCCTGAAACATTTGAGCTATTTGATGATCTGGTGCTTCTATCAGAAGGGTACGTGGTGTATGAAGGCCCTCGAGAAGACGTGCTCGAGTTTTTTCAGTCGTTAGGCTTTCAAATTCCACCTCGTAAGGGGATCGCTGACTTTCTCCAGGAGGTATATCTTCTCGACATATTTTCAGGATCAATTAAACGCATCCCTTAACTGTTACTCGATTACTTTCTTTTCTTTTGTCAGGTTACCTCTAAAAAAGATCAAGAGCAATACTGGGCTGATCCTTCAAAACCATATACGTTCGTCTCAGTTCCTGATATTGCACTAGCCTTTAAAAATTCCAAATTTGGAAGGTATATGGAATCCATGCAAAGCCATTCCTATGATAGATCAAAATCTCATCCTTCAGCTTTGGCTAGAAGTAAATATGCGGTGCCAAGATGGGATACTGCCAAAGCTTGCTTTGCACGAGAACTCCTTTTGATCAAAAGGCATAGCTTTCTTTATATTTTTAGAACCTGCCAGGTACCGTTGAACATTCGATTATCATGTTTAACTAACTAGTTGAATTCCTTCTCTTCTTCATTCTTGAATAGGAAAGATTTCTATAATTCTTATTTTGGTGCAGACTATTAATTGAAAATCGTATAATAAGGTATATTTAGAATCTAAACCCAAAACATCAAATACCTTTTTTAACTACTTGTTTAGTTTGCATATATATATATATATATATATATATATATATATATATATATATATATATATATATATATATATATATATATATAATATCTATATTTAAAATAATTTTGTTGTCATAAGGATTAAAAGGAATGCGTTATAATCAAAATCATTTTCATTTTACAGTACTATTAAGGAACATAAAAAATAAAACAAAAATTTAGGATATGTTCAATATAAGAACATAACTTTTTATTTGTATTTTTATAATAATTAAAAACACATAATCTTATTTATATTTATTTATTGTTTTAAAATATAAAGAAATAATATTTAAAATATTTTGATGAGCTATATTCGCTTTAATTGCCTTTGTGTGCATATGTCAAATACAAGAATTAATTTATATATATATATATATATATATAATTTTTATGTTTGCATCTAATAATAAGCTGGTGTCTACAATAGTTAGTTAGTTTCTATAATAATTATTTAAAAATATATTAATTTTAATTTTAATTGGTTGGTATTTGTTATACTGAATAAAATTAAACTTTATAATATTTGCAAGTTTTCAATATTTTCTTTAATTTCTTTTAACTATTTTTATGTATTTACATTTATTTTTTTTGCTGCCAAAGGTTGCTTTTGTAGGATTTGTCACATGTACTGTATTCCTGCGGACAAGGTTACATCCCACAGATGAGGTTTACGGACGTCTTTATCTTTCTGCTTTATTTTTTGGAATGGTTCACATGATGTTTAATGGGTTTTCTGAGCTACCTCTTCTAATAAGTCGGCTTCCAGTATTTTATAAGCAAAGGGATAATTTGTTCTATCCTGCATGGGCGTGGTCTCTTACCAGTTGGGTTCTCCGTGTACCCTATTCCGTTGTTGAGGCTGTTATATGGACTGTTGTTGTATACTACAGTGTCGGGTTTGCTCCATCAGCGGGAAGGTATCTTAATTTTATTAAATCTTTATGATGCATATTTTCTTTTTGGCCATCGTAATCATTGGATTTTGTTAAATATTTCAGGTTTTTTCGCTACATGCTTTTACTTTTTTTAATGCATCAAATGGCATTAGGTCTCTTCCGTATGATGGCAGCTGTTGCACGAGATATGGTCCTTGCCAATACATATGGATCAGCTTCACTACTTGTTGTATTCTTACTTGGAGGATTTATATTACCTAAAGGTAGGCAGCACTGTAAATTGCACTTTAAAGATCTAGTTAACAATATGGCTATTGGTAGTGATTTGGCTCTCATTACTTCAGCAATGATTAAACCATGGTGGATTTGGGGCTACTGGTTGTCACCCCTTACCTATGGACAACGGGCTATTACAGTTAATGAATTTACTGCTACAAGATGGATGAAGGTATTGTTGGTTTTACCTTTTGAATTATGTGTTGACCCAACCTCAAGAGTTAAACATGTGAAGAATTGTTTTTTATGTCTAGAACCTGCTCACACAATAGCTTTATGGGCTGCTGTTAAGCACGATAAAGGCATAGGACTTCATTAACTTGTATTAAAACTTGATTTAATTACGAAGAATGAGTGGAACAAGGTAAACTTTTGATCACGAGGTTGTAGTGACTTAAATAACCTCGAGTCAACTCATCAAAATCATAAACTGAAGGTGTGGAACATCTTATGTAATCTTTTATTGAGGAAGCCTTTATAGAATATATAAATGGTTCACAGAGTTAACTATCTGCAGAAATCCCAAACTGGGGAGAGCACAGTTGGTTACAGTGTCCTCGTCTCAAACAACCTACCAACTGTTGACTACTGGTATTGGATTGGTATTGCAGTTTTACTTGTCTACGCACTTTTTTTCAACAACATGGTCACGGTGGCCTTGACCTTTCTGAATCGTAAGTTCTGAATAATATTTCCCAATATTTTTCCATTTAAAAGCATGTTTTCTAACTTGAAATTTGATTACTATTCACTTTGGGCGGGAATTTCTTCATTCATAAATATTTTATGTTATTTTCATTTAATCCACCTTTTCTTCTCTGTCCTATTACTTTTTAATGAAGCAATACAAAAAGCACGAACGGTCATTCCTAATGACGATGATTCGGAAAAGAGTTATTCCAAAGATGGTAACGATCCGCCAAACTGTGCATGAATAATTGTCCAGAGATTCAAAGATTGATAATGTATTAAATATTATTGACCAAAAATGTCTCACTATCCATTACGTGGTTCTTCAGGCAGTAATCAGGTCTATGAAATGAGTACCCGTGCCAAATCCGCGAGAGAGGACAATAATAAGAAAGGAATGATTCTTCCATTTCAACCGCTGACAATGACATTCCATAATGTCAATTATTTTGTCGATATGCCAAAGGTGGGGATTTGTAATTTGACAATTTCTAATTTTATCAACTGATGCACTATGCTATATGGTGGCGTACACTCCATAAAATTTAGGAGAGATCTCATTTCCATTAACTAGTTCTAAAAGAAGTTTTGTCCGTCTTTTTTTTTTTTTTACAGGAGATAAGCAAGCAAGGCGTACCTGAAACTCGGTTGCAGCTCTTGACAAACGTGAGCGGCGTTTTCTCACCTGGTGTTCTTACAGCATTAGTGGGCTCTAGTGGAGCTGGAAAGACCACTCTAATGGACGTACTGGCTGGTAGGAAAACTGGAGGGTACATAGAAGGGGACATTAAAATTTCGGGTTACCCTAAAGAGCAACGAACATTTGCCAGAATATCAGGATATGTTGAACAAAATGATATACATTCTCCTCAAGTAACAGTTGAGGAGTCACTATTGTTTTCTTCAGCTCTTCGTCTTCCAAAGGAAGTTGTAGTTGCTAAAAGACTTGTAAGTTCTTTCATGACACATTGTATATCTTATCGTGATGAATTATTTCCAAACTTTTAATTCACTGAACTATTCTACAGGAGTTTGTTGAACAAGTGATGAAACTCGTTGAGCTTGATGCTTTGAGAAATGCTTTGGTCGGTATGCCAGGTAGTTCTGGCTTATCAACAGAGCAGAGAAAGCGATTAACAATAGCAGTGGAGCTTGTAGCAAACCCTTCCATTATTTTTATGGATGAGCCTACTTCTGGACTTGATGCACGTGCAGCAGCTATTGTAATGAGAGCTGTTCGAAATACTGTTGATACTGGTAGAACTGTGGTTTGTACCATACATCAGCCAAGTATTGATATATTTGAAGCATTTGATGATGTTAGTCTTTTTCTTTTCATACTTATTCGATGATGATATAGTCTAATTACAGTTTTTTCCTTTGTCAGAGTCTAATGCTTTGTTTTTGCCCTACCCAGTTACTTCTTATGAAACGAGGCGGACGAGTAATATATGGGGGAAAGCTTGGTGTGCAGTCACAGATAATGATAGACTACTTTCAGGTGAAGTTGGAATTTAGTTCTGTATTATTATTATTATTATTGTTGCTAAAAATGTGGGCGTATATTATCGTTGCTCTTGTCCAAATCCAAATGAAAGCATCCACTTTTCCGTCATACACTCTATTCTTTATTAATACAATAAGAAATAAGGTTTTTCTTGTATGAGTACAAAATTCTTCATGTTATTATGCTTATACTTACAATTTTTACACTTGTACTATGTTTGAAGATTCTTCTTGGTACTTCTTGTAGGTTTTATTTAATTTAAGAAAAATTATATTTTAACATCTTTTATAAAATATATTCACTTCGTAACTTATTAATAATAATAATATATAAAAGGAGGAGTCACGAGTAGAGGTAAGACTATATACTAAAATCATAAGCGGATCTTATTATAAGTGGCCGAAGAGAAAAGGAAAGTGTTAATTTAATCGGTGAGAAATATAAATATTAATTTTGTTTAGAAAAAAATTGTGGCTCCTCCAAAATTTTAGTTGAAATTCCGCCACTCATATTAATTGACGGGATTATATCTATTGTATATGAGACGAAGAAGAAAAGGAAAAAAAAAAATTACGGAATCTTTTTCAATCTTGATTAGCTCTTCATCTTATCTGGTATTTCTAATTACCCAAGATATCCACGAAAATGAGTATGCGACTAGAATGCCTCGGCCTAATTGTTCTTCTTCCTTCTTTCTTTATGTTGGATTTCTTTGTTATACAAATGTCAAGATGCAAGTGTGCTTCGTTAGTTCTTGATATTTTTGGTTTGTGGTTGTTTTCCTATCCGCTCTGCAGGGATTCAATGGAATTCCCCCCATTCCAAATGGTTACAATCCGGCTACCTGGGTGCTTGAGGTTACTACACCTGCTACTGAAGAGAAACTTAATGTAGATTTTGCAGAACTTTACAAGAATTCGAACCAATTCAGGTGCATCTAATTTATATTTTCTTACATGCTATTGCTGAAGTCGATTTTCCTTCCTTTTTTTTTTTTTTTCTTTTTAAGATTAGGTTGGAGAGAGATGATATAAAATGGCCTTCTTCTTGAAAGGGAACAAAACCATGATGTTGGAATAGAAAGATTTCGTTTTAGATGAATGATTAAACTGTTTAATATTTTTCTCAGGGGGGTGGAGTCTTCTATCGTGCAATTTGGACATCCTCCTCCAGGCTCTCATCCACTGAAGTTTGATACCGTATATTCACAAAACCTGTTTTCCCAATTTTTACAATGCTTATGGAAACAAAACCTTGTGTACTGGAGAAGTCCATCGTATAATGCAATGAGGTTATACTTCACCACAATAAGTGCTGTGATATTTGGTTCCGTATTTTGGGATGTTGGCTCAAAAAGGTAACCGCTCTTTTATGTTATCATTTGTTGTAAAGGGAATTGTATTAAAATATAACATTAAGTTAAATAAAAAAACAAAAATAACATAAAGAGAACCCTTTCTGTATTTACATTTATTTTAGAACTCATTTTAATAATATAATTATTATGTTATTAAAATGAGTTGTAGGATAGATATATAAAGAAAATGATTGTTCGTAGATCTTAAGAAAATAATATGGAACTGCTTAAATAGACAAGACTCCGATTTGATGAAATGATTATTTCCTTGGATCTTTTAATTTAAACGATGAAAACAAAATCACACATGATTGACTCCGCGAGGTTATCCTTCAAATATTTAAATCGGATTTTTCTAAGGGATTGGAAATTTCTTCTTAATGAAATATATATATATATATATATATATATATATATATATATATATATATATATATAAAAAGTTTATTTATAATATTGAAAAAAAAACTTAAGTAATACGCTAAATAGAAATAAATAAATGAAAATATTTTTTATTTTACAAGTTGAATTTCTAATAATGAGTTAAACCTAACCTGAATTTTAAAATAATATGATAGTCTATCCTAAATTCAAATCTCACGTTAGCACGTGATACAACTGAAAAAAAAAAAAAAAAAAAGATAAATTGAGAATCATTATCACCTTAAACTAATTTTATGAGGTCTAAGATATAAACCATTAGTCTCTAAACCCCTGTACTGATTAAACAGTTGCCATTATTATTCTGCAGGGAATCACCTCAAGAGCTGATGGTGGTTATGGGAGCTCTTTATTCTGCATGCATGTTTCTTGGGGTAAACAACTCTTCTTCTGTACAGCCAATTGTATCAATAGAAAGGACAGTGTTTTACAGAGAGAAAGCTGCTGGTATGTATTCTCCAATAGCTTATGCGGCAGCCCAGGTCAGTCTTTTGAAAATTAAAGCCTTGTTTATATGTGTTGTGCACAGTGCTCGTAGTAATTGCTTAATACGATTGACAGGGGCTAATAGAGGTACCATACATTGCTGTTCAGACAATAGTATTTGGTATAATCACATATTTCATGATCAATTTTGAAAGGACACCTGGTAATTTTTCAACTTTCCTTTTGTAGATAGCTATTTGCTTTACATAACTTGGAATCCACTCGCAATTTCGTGGTACAAACAGGGACCATCAACCCTCCTTCCACCTAAAATCGATCTTATATTGTGCTGAAATTCTTAATTTAATTGTTTACCTTCGAGTCATGATACATGGTTCTTTTGATGTTCTCGTTGGCATCCATAGATGGATTATTGACAAAAGTGAAATCTTCACTGGACCCAGTTCCATTCATAAATTGTGAATATGTTTTCATACATGGTTTCAAAAAATTTGGCAGTACTTTTACATTTTGAAACCTAATGTATTTCGTAAGCCATTTCATAAATGTCATTGGTTTTGATCTAATAAGATGGCAGATTAAAGTACTTAAACGCGAGCTAAACAATAAGATTCATTAATTAAATAGATAATTGATGCTAACTATCATTTGACCTCCAATTCATAAATAACAGTATTATGAAGTATAAAAAATAAAAGCAAGGATTGGCTTTTTATTTTGGTTAAATATCTGATTGTTGAATTTTACCTTTGGTAGTAGTTTCATTTATATTTACTATTTATTTTTCCAATATCAATTTAACGTGAATATGCGAATAATTTTCCTGGGAAATGACATTTTTATATTAAATTTTGTTATATATACATTAGCGATTTTATTTTTTATCTGTGTCTTCTTTAAAAGAGAAACACAGAAGACGGAAATGGTTTTAGATGTTAAATGTGAATATAATCTATCGTTAACTGGATAACTTTTTATTTATTGCAGCAAAGTTTTTTCTCTATCTCGTGTTCATGTTCCTAACGTTCACCTACTTCACCTTTTACGGCATGATGGCCGTTGGTCTTACACCTTCACAACATCTAGCAGCTGTTATTTCTTCAGCATTTTACTCCCTGTGGAATCTTCTTTCAGGTTTTCTCATTCCAAAAACGGTGAGTAATTGTCATACTTGCAGAACATTTAGCTAGTTTCGGTTATATATCCCTTCCCCCCGGGTTTAACTTTTGCTCTTTTAACCCAGAACTATGTAGTTGATATACTGCAGTATAATTGGATTCTGTTAATGCAATAATTGGTAAAATGTTTTCTGTATATATGTTTTGTTGTTGAGAGCAGTTGTCTATTGATTTCCATATGCATGTTCTACATGTACTATTCCAGAAAGAAATAGAGAAATGAATCTTTGCAGCTAAAATACAAGTAGTTTCATGTCTCTTTTAAACATGAAAAGTTGTGGTTTCTCTCTTGGATTCTAATGTCTCTACACTCGTTACAATGTCTCAGTATATTCCTGGGTGGTGGATATGGTTCTATTATATCTGCCCGATTGCATGGACGTTACGTGGTATTATAACGTCTCAGCTTGGTGACGTGGAAACCAAAATAATGGGACCTGGATTTGAGGGCACTGTGAAAGAGTATTTAGCCGCTAGTCTTGGATTCGAATCTGAAATCAACGGATTTTCAGCTGTTGGCCTTTCAGTGATTGTGCTTCTGGGATTTATTATTCTCTTCTTTGGTTCTTTCGCTGTATCAGTCAAAGTCTTGAATTTCCAAAAGAGATAACTGGATTTATGTCCAAAAGATGAGAGGCGTTTATTAAGCAGCTCTTTAACATCACAGTAGGTAGATAATTCTGACGGTGGATGCTAGCTCCAAATACCTCATATTGGTGCTTATAAGTGCCACGGGATCTCTATTCAATAAAATGTCATTTGATCTGCAGATGAGGTTTTTCTTTTTCTTTTGTTAATAGAGGAATTCCAATTCTGAAGCCATATAAATTTGGTGTTTTTTGATAGGAAGGAAAGAAAGATGTAAAAAAATTAGAATGTTAATATTTCATCAGTATATTGTACTAAGACACACGCTTCCATGCCTTCAAGCAGGGTGAGGTGCTTCCATTCCATTCAATTGATTTTGCATCCAAACGCTATTTCATAAGCATTTTCAACCATTTTCTTTTTCTCTTTCTCCTGCACACCACACGAGTTTATCACCTTTCTCTACCAACTTTTTTTCTTTAGTTTTTTCCTCCCGATAATCACTTCGGTTGTTTGCAATGTTTTGCAACCAGGTTTAAAAACGATTCAGGATTTTTAAATATACAACCAAATAGTAATCTTTTATTTTATTTTTAATTATTATTTTTCTTATTCTATTAATATAACATAACGTGGGTGTTAATTTTTTTTTTTTTTTTAAAGGATGTTCATAATTACTCTTTAAAAACTTATTGCAATGGACTAAAAATAAATAGTAGATAATTTCTTAATTAAATTACCATTAAAAAACGTGTTCAGAAACGTAAAAAGCAAAAATATCGAATATACAAGTCAAATTAATCATATGTAACAGATTTTACTATTTATTTCAATAAGATAAACAAATTATTTTTTAACTTATTAAGAAATAAGTAAAATATATTATATAATATATTATTATAATGATTTTTTTCTCTGAACATGAAAAATAGTTTAAGAAACCTCCAATAATTATATCTTTAAATTATATATCAAAAAGAAATATTTGAAGGTAATCAGGAATTAAGCTTTTATGAATAAAGACTCTAATCAAGTTCTCTTTTATTATTCTCTATAGTTTTAGGCTCTATTATTCTCTAGTTTATCTTTTGTTTTTATTTTACTAAGGCATTGTGAGTGAGTGAATTTGTGATGGACATTAATAAAATGTTGTGACTTAATTTTTATAAGAAATTCTCTCAATTTAGAATAATTATTTTATATTTTTTTATGCAAGAATAAATACAAAAATTAGAAAGAAATAATTAAGAAAAGAAAATCAGAAAAATAGAAAAATTGAATTCATAACCAAGTAGAGGCCAACAGGGTAGGAGAGCTCGCTTGATCGAAAAAAGCTACAATTAAGATGACTTTCGAGTCCAATTTTGTTCGAGCGATAAAACCCTCGTTGGAGAGAAATTATGTTTTTTTGACATGAAGTTCTGAGAAAAAAAATGTTAGTTTCAGCGAGAATTTATTAAAATAGAAATCATATAAATAGTAAGACCTAAGCTTTTGGAATCATTTGACCAAGGAGAAAACAAAAATCACAAGAGAAAACAAGAGAAAAAAAAAGGAAGAATAAGTGAATCAAACGAAGCAAAGAAAATTCAAAATATATTTCTTAACTTTTACATCTAATTATATATCTATTCTCGTCGTAATATTGTATTAAGATGGAATGTAATTTATCAACTTTTATATATATAATATTCAGTGATATTATACTTAAAATGGCTTGACTATTCATCATTTAATTTTTAATTTGGATTTATATTGAAAAATTGAATTTAGATTTGATTTTAATCAAATGATCTAATAATATTGAATAGACTAGAAATAAGAATAGATTTGATATTATAATTAGTTGAAGTTCTCTAAACTTATTGTAAAGATATTATCTTAATAATCAAGGAATTCAATGCAAGAGATTGTTTAAAAGAAATTTTAGGATTTAATAATAGAAGAAATTTTAGGACGTCTATATTTGTTACTAGAAAACAGTTTAAATTTTTGTAGATCTAAATCCAGATAACTAGATTGGATTTTAAATAAGAATTCATATTTTCTAAAAAATATAGTTTGGAGTTTTATATGATGGCTTGATACCCATTTTAAACCTGGTGTATTTTTTTTTCTGATATCGATTTTAAATCCAAATTAATTTAAGTCAATTCAAATATAAATAATGCAGTTTTATGGTATCATTTATTTACAAATCATAATACGTAGCAATTAAATTTGTCAAATTTAATTACGGCCACTACAAGAAAAAACGGATTTAGCGACCGAAAAAATCGGTCGCTAATGGCTAAAAATCGATCGCTAATCTGTTAGCGACCGAAATTAGCGACCGAAATGGTTGGTCGCAAAAGGGCAAGTCGCTAATTCGTTAGCGACCGATTACAGATTGGTCGCTAAATAGCGACCGATCAAGTGGTCGCTAAAGTGGTCGCTAATTAATTTGGTCACTTATTCTTTGGGGACCAAAATAGCGACCGAAAATAATATAATAAATTGGTCGCTAAATCGGTCGCTAAATCAGTGGTAAAATTTTAAAGAATAGCGACCGATTTATTCGATCGCTAATATATTAATATAATTATTTAAATAATAATTAAAATCGATCGCTAAATTGGTCGCTAAATTGGAGACCAAGTTAAAAATAATAGCGACGGATATAATCGATCGCTAATATATTAATTGAATTATTTAAAGAATAAATTAAATCGGTCAGCTAAATTTGTATATTATAATAAATTTGTAGCGACCAAAAATTCGATCGCTAATCTAACCAAATCTGAAAATTTTCATTTAAAATTTTGTATATCCAATTTGACAAAATTTATACCTGTTTAATTCATCCAAACATAACACAAATGAAAACTTAAGAACTAAAGTCAAATTATTCAAATCATAAAATTTGTACCTGCTTAATTCATTCAAACATAACATAAATGAAAACTTAAGATAACATAACATAACATAACATAATTCATTCAAACATAACATAATTCATTCAAACATAATTCATTCAAACATAACATAACATAACATAATTCATTCAAACATAACATAAATGAAAATTAGTCCTCTGGTATATTGTCAGTGTCATGTTGACTAGTGTCATGTTGACTTGTAGTAGGATGACTATTCATTTGAATATGTTGTAAAATAAGCTTCATCTGCTCATCTTGTTGGCGTTGGTTGTTCCTCAACTCCTGCATCTCTTCTTCAAGTGTCTTCTCCTTATTATGCTTTGCCACCAATTCGGCATTTAACTTTTCAATAATCTCACGCATTTGTTCAATTTGATGAAGTACTTGCAGTTTGAGTAGAAGATTGAGAACTCGATGTAGTAGTGAACTTTTTACTCAATGTACCAAGTCCATACACATTTCCCTTTTTATTTTCACCTCCAACAACTGAAATGTATATTTGATTATCATCAGCAGAGACAATAGGAGACTCTTGTGAAGATGAGCCTTCACGCAAGTTTTGTTGATGGACTTCTTCTCTGCGTTGCATATATTGTTCCTAAAAATGAAGTAAAATATAATTATTATGAAGAAAACATATATTGAATAATAAACTATAACTTAGATGTTAAACATACAGCAAGATAACGAGTTTTTTCATTGACCCATTGTCCAGTCTTTAATTTCTTTGTCCTCTCAACAACCTCCCAAACGGTTGGTTCCCGTTGAAACTCCAGTAGTCTACACATTAAAATGAGACAAAATTCATTACCTAAAGTGTAATATATTGTATTAAATTACTTATATAAAAATATAATAAACTTACCATCTTCTCAAAGTGAGCTGCAGTAGATATGGAACCCCCACAGTAAGCTGAGGCACCCTTATCAACAGCTCGATTAGCCTTGGCAATGACACTCTTGTTTTGGAAATCTGGAGAACTCCAATGTAAGTCCAATGTAAGTCCAATGTATCTCCATTCTTGCAAACTAACTACAACAATCAGCATAAGTGAAACTGCATTATTCACTTTATGTGAAACACTACTTATGTTTTTCTATTCTTACAAATTAACTACAACAATCAGCATAAGTGAAACTGCATTATTCACTTTATGCGATGCACTACTTATGTTTTTCTATTCTTGCAAATTAACTACAACAATCAGCATAAGTGAAACTGCATTATTCACTTCATGTGATGCAATACTTACGTTTTTCTAATACATTTTTTCCAAGGTATTTATCCACTTACTTATGCGATACGTATGATACGAGACCACCAAATAATTGTGTAAGTAAACCCAATAATTATGAAATTTCTTTTCACTAAGATGCAACGAGATAAGTGAAACAAATTATAAATGGTTAACCTGAGGCGTACGGTCTCGAGTAGTTCCCAAATTGGTCCGTCAAGCACCACCAAATCCGCAGTAAGAGGGATCGAAGAACCTATCCACTTCACAAATCCACCTACAATAAACAGATAAAGAAATTCTGTCAAAAGTATCTCTCCTATATTATTCACAATGCAAGAGAATAACAGTATATGCATTCAAACAAGCCAAACCTTGGTTGGATTAGGTTAAGAACAGAGGTGTGGCGCGGTGGCAGAGGGTGCGGAGGAGCTTCAGAACAGAGGTGTGGCGCGGTGGCTCACAGGGTGGCGCGGTGGCTCAAAGGGTGACGAGGAGCTTTGGTGGAGGTTGGATTAGGGTGAGGGCTAACTTGGGGGGAGCAGTGAGGGGGCTAGATAGGGAATGGGTGAGTGAGGCGCGAGAGTTAGGGTTATTTGGAGATAAGTTGCGCGAGATAGGGAATTGAAAAATGTGGTTGTATATGATAGCGGTTAAATCTTAACCGCTATTATAATAACACTTCTAATAGCGGTTAAATCTTAACCGCTATTATATAGCACATCTAATAGCGGTTACATCTTAACCGCTATTATATATTCTCAAATATGATCGATCATTTGAAAATGTAATCGATCATAACCAAAAAATGTGGATGTCGCTCGAGCGAGACAGTGTCGCTCAAATGAAAAATCACCCGAGAAGGCCAAT